GATAGTTTAGGCCAAAAGAAACGTTCTGACCCGCAGAGGCATGTTGTTTACCCCTTAGGAAAAAAATCCCCATTCAAGGGACGTTTACGCAACCCCATCTTTTTTTCGAGGAGGGGGGGGATTTTTTTTTCAGAATTAACTGTCATATTTTGAGTTTTGACATCTATACCTTCCCTGCTCTGCGGCACTGGGAGTCCCTCCATTGTTATTGTTGGAAAAGTGAGCCCTCGTTGTTTTTCCCGGCGTCGGGAGTTTCAGCAGACAATTACCGAGGGATGGTGGCGTAATCCCTACCTGAAGAGGGTCATAGCGCCGGTCGACCGGCCGGCGGGGGCGGGGCCTGGCCGGAGCCAAGGTGGAGGGGATGACAGGTACAAAGAACGTGGGACGAAACGGGATAAACAACGAGGGCTCACTGTATGACGGTCGGGAACATGGAGGGTGTTCGAAGTATAATCCGAATCACTTACCGCTTGCCACTGTCTGCTGGCTGGCTGCCTGGCTGGCTGCCTGGCTCGCCGGCTGCTGGTCAGGATGGCGCCGGATGGCGCTCACGCTCTGTGCTGCCTTCCTAGTCTGAAAATTGAAAGCAACTATCTGAATTACCGGTCCAGACTGCAAAAAATCTGAACAAATTGTACTGAAATTTCAGATTTTTAGCAGATGATACATTATGCATTGAGACCTACATAAAACAGAAATAGTAGTTAGGATAATGTGTCAGCATGCTAGTAAGTACTCTCAAGATGTGAGGCGCCGAGCAGTATGACACTGTAGAATCCAAAGGCAATATTTAGCCTTTTTGCGTCAGAGATCGCCTAACGGCTTAGAAAAGCTCCAGTTGGCCTTCACGGCGATCACAAAAGATGCCAAAATTTGGCATCTTTCTGTAGCTAAAAATTAGCCAGCGACGTTGGCAATAATGTGAACAAAGCAGGGTACAGACCGGTTTAATGCCTGGTTTGGCAATATCCAAAGATCGCGACAATTTTGGCCGATCTTTATGTCCATCGCCAGGAAGGCAATAACGTTTTCCGGTGAGGCACTAGTCCTTAGGACGATACTCGAACTTGTACCAGCGTCAAAAGACATGAGTTAAGATGATGCGCCGCTATCATTGCAGTGTCGAGTCAGAAGAATACCATAGAAGGGGACCCGATTTCGCTGATGCTGCTTGCTGCTGCGCGTCCGCCCCAGACCGCCCCGCTGGCTACCAACAATGCCTGCCGGTTCGGGCCGGCTCGGCGCGCTGGGGTCGCGGCGGGCGGTGCAGGCCACTGCTGGGCGCAGGCCTGGCGCTATACTCTGACCAGAAAACGAAGAGCCCTGAGTCCTCGCGGTTTATGGCATCTGCCGCCTTGGATAGCATTGCAGGCAGCCCTCGACCGCGAGGACCCACGGCTCTTCGTTTTCTGGTCAGAGTATAGTACCCACACCGGTCAGATCGCTCGGTACACAATTTTAAATGCCATCTTTAGAATGAGCCCATACTACCCCGTAGAAGAAAAGCAAACAAGTATCATCTGCTTTCATTAACGTTCGTTGAATGAGATTTTTTTCACAGTGCACTAGGACCGGATTGTTCCTACGGAACGACAAAATTTAGAGCTCGAGCGGCTTGGGACACCACAATTTGGCGTTCAAAACGGAGCGCCACTGGAGTGACAAGGAAACGATGCAGGTCCCGGGGCTCCCGTCGCTGACTCACCTGGATGCCGACCTGGCCGGAGTCGCTGACGACCACCTCCACCACGGCCGAGATGCCCCCTTGCGCTCAGAGGGCCCTGAGCTCTGCGACCAACGCCGCGACGCACGCCCCAAGGCAGCGCCGATCCGCCACGCTCCGCCACGCTCCGCCCGACCCGATGACTGCAGCGACAGCGGAGTCAGCAGCAGCAGTCGTCGGGATCTGCAGCGAGTTTAGGAAAGTACAACACATAGCTCAAAAGATAGGCGCATTAACAGATTAAGACGTAGGGTGGGGTGGGGCAGCGTGGGGTAGAGAAGGTTGGGTGGGGCAGCGCCCCAGAAGGAGAACGGAATCGTCACGAAAAGGTCACCGGGAGCTGCAGGTGATAGATTTTCGTCACGATTTGAGCACATATGAGGTCACACGTGACCCCAAATAAGCTCACGATGACCTTTTCGTGACAATTCTGTTCTCCTTGGGCGTGGGCTAGGCGAGGGTTGGTGGGGCAGTGCGGGGTTTGGCTTGCCCGGGGGGGGGGGGGCTTAATGATGACAATTTTATCACACATTGATGATTCATAATTAAAGCAAATGCGATACAACACTCCAAATTGTATTGGCGCACACATGGTGCTGCAAAGACGGTAAAATTCTGTATACCGCCTTTCTATTCGCGGTAAAATATACACTGTAAGAAAAATGCGGTACTAATCATAACCGCCAATGACGCGCCATTTAGATGCCGCCTAACACAGGAGATACAAAATAACACCGCCAATTGCGTTCCCTCTGCAGGTGAAACAAAGGCATCAAAATTATGCTCTGAAGCGGCGTGAATCGTTAAAGCCTTTTGAAAGGGCATTAAAATTTTGCTTAAAAGTCCCATACCGCATTCACGCCCTTCCCAAGGGCATAAAACGATTTACGCCCTTACACTGTGAAAATTTGAGTCGTCACTTGATGACAATTTCAAGGCTAATTTTCCTTACAAGGATGTCACCAAATCAAATGATGACATTGTACCAGATGTTTCAGAAACCCCGTAGAAGTTTGAAGGTATGCAAACCGCTCGCCGTCGTGCGGGCGGGCTTGCCTACGCGCTGGTCGGCGGGCGCCGGAGCGATCATGGGTTGCCACTCGTCCACTAGTGCAGCTGGGTGACGTCCCCCTTCCCCTCGCCGCTCCGGTTGCGCTCGGCTGGCCCGGTCTACTGTCACAGGTGGCGCTAACGTCGTCTATCGGCCGCCAATCCAACCATCTAGACTGATGTCGCTAAATTCGCAAACATTCGCCGATCGGTGGTTCGCCAGCTAGCGACATCATCCGAGATGGTTTGATTGGCGGCCGATAGACGACGTTAGCGCCACCTGTGACAGCTGACCGGGCAAGCCGAGCGCAACCGGAGCGGCGAGGGGAAGGGGGACGTCACCCAGCTGCACCAGTGGACGAGTGGCAACTAGTGGCAACCCACGATCGCTCCGGCGCCCGCCGACCAGCGCGTAGGCAAGCCCGCCCGCACGACGGCGAGCGGGTTGCATACCTTCAAACTTCTACGGGGTTTCTGAAACACCAACTGGTGTGGTCAAATGGGTGCCATTTTGACCGCATCAGTTGGTGTGGTCTAGACCACACCAACGTGGTCTAGACGGACCACACCAAACGTGGTCTAGACCACACCAAACGTGCCCAAACGTGGTCTAGACCACACCAACTGTTGCGGTCAAAATGGCCCCTATTTGACCACACCAGTGGTGTGGTCTAGACCACGTTTGGTTTTTCAGTGTAGGCGAACTATTCTACTTTTCCCCTCCCTCCGGCCGACTCTGGATCCGCCACTGACCCGAGCACTGACCGGCACTGACCGCCTTTCGATTGGTTCCTTACCGGCGCCTTCCTCGCGAGATGCCAACACGCACTGGCGCCGTGCCGCCACCCGCTGCTCCAGCCGCATGAACCAGTCCACCGCGATGGCGATGGCGAGGATGGTGTGCGCGATGAGGAAGACGACCGTGAATATGTTGAGAGCCCTGGGCGGCAGGAACAACGCGCCCTGGTCGCCCTGGTCCTGGTCGCCACCGTCCTGGTTCGGCGCACGCTCGTGAGACACAGCCCTGCGGGTCCGCTGCCTTCGCCGCCCGTGCCGCGTCAGTCGGAACCTCGCGGGCATCGCATTCCCCATCGAGGGCACACCGCCACGCTCCGCGCTCCGCGCCGACCGGCAGTCGAGTGCACTGTGAGCGCAGAGTCCGACATTTACCGCCGTGGCATCGAAATCGAATCAGCCGGGGTGGGGTGGCGAGGGGCGGCGCGGGGCCGGTGAGGTGACGGATCCAGGAGCCAGCCCGGCCCGAGCGCGCCGGCCGCAGCAGACCGATCCCATCCCAGCCCGTGCCGTGAGTCCGAGTCCGCGATCCGTCCGTCTCTCTGCTGTCTCTCTCCCGCCCCTGTACAGTACGGGCCGCCCGCGAGAGGCAGAGCGGGAAGGGCAGAGCGACGAAAAAGACTCTCGGACTCCCACAGTATACTGAGGGAGGGGGAAAGTGTGTTGTTTTTGCCTACTTTTCCGGCGGCTAACGAGTCCCGGCAGGAGTCAATTATTGTCCCTCCCACTGGCACCGCGCCTGGAGGGGAGAGGGGCGCCCAGTGTGAAGAATTCGTAAACAGGTGGATACCATTCATCTCGCTGTATCATATGGTGATCAAGGAATGTTGTTAGGTCTTTTTCCTACACCGATTCGCGTTGAAACGAATGTGACACAGTATTTCAATGAACGTGACACATTGCTTTAGGGTGTAACTGTTGAGTATGATCGTTACATAAGTGCGCCTAAAACTGATTTTCGCCATGATTTTGACAAAACGAGGGTTTTGTCAGAGATCATGAAATAATGGATATAGTCATAAAAGCGCGTAAGTGCGAAAAGATGAGGCACTTCTAAAATGATTTAGTTCTCTTTACTTGTCAGCGGACGTTGTGTCAAGACTGAACAAAAACCAACTCATTCCCAAAATCGAATGTTGGCTAAATGCAACCAGTTGGTGTCAACCCTCATAAGCATAGAGGCCTGTAAGATGACTGGACTAAATAGAACTAAATAATATTCAAAACTTGAATTCTAGCGTAAATTACAGTAGCTACTACTCCTGCTAACGCATTCTCTAATACAAACTTTTGTAGCAGACTGCAAATAGTTGCAGCAGCAGCAAAACACAACCAGTAGAGCTATAAAAACAAAAGAAAAACTTTAAAAAACTATATTTAAAAAAGGGGGGGAGGTGGAGGTGTTCAAGAACACTGTTGAAAACAATCCTTTTGACATTATATACAGAAATGTTTTATTCCTTAAATTACGCAAACATAGCAATCAGTACAAATCTTTTTAACAAGCACAACTCAATAGAAACTACAATGTTGCTTTTTAAGAAACAAAGATGTAAGTGAATAGTTTATTACAGACACCATTAAGTCTCAACAAGGGCTGATAGTTCGTCACAATTTTGCTCTTTGACACTCCTCTATTTGTTAAAGCGTGCCGAATGCAATGAAATAAAATACTACATTCAGGGACAAGAGTCAGTCTGGCTGGCTGGTTATCACAACAAGTGAAAAACCAACACTTTTATTGCCATCATTTTACACATTCAGGGCTTAGCATCATCACAAACTTTGAACCTGCAGGCTAAAAGTCTAGAAAATCTCAAAACATATAGTTATATCAAGCTAAGAAGGAAATAGATCATAATAGTTAAGTGATGAACAGATACGTAGCAGCGTCCATGAAAGTCCGATGAAACGAAAACGTGAAAACAACAATAATGGAAGGAAATCTATGTCGGAATCACAGGCAGCAACTCACAGCAGATGAAACGTATCTTACAAAACAAATGTTAATGACTTAAATAGAGCACGTTGGCTAATACTACTAATGAAACACACTGAAACAATGTACAACCCTGGAGTGAGTGGCTAGGATATGATTCAGACAAAGTTCCTCTTGGACCAACATGAACGGCTTACAGTAAAAGCAGTATCCATTCCACCATACTGGGTTTCAATTTAAAACTGAAGTACATATCAAAGCTACTTCAACTAGACAAACAAAACACTATTAATTTCAACTTCTGAAAAGAACAAAAGTTGTTTAATATCTGACTATGAGAATCGAGAACAAAGGTGTATCATTGGCACCAAAATAGTGACATTTGACAGAAAATCTACTGTTTACGCTTGCAGAAGTGTATAACAAGGAAAACAAATGCACTGACACACAAACCGGGACAGCCATCCAGGCCAATAATAAATTAAAAAACAAAACAGAACAGTCCCAGCGCACTCCATCAAATTGAACTACATCCTTGATACATGCTAACTCCACAAAGCAACCACGCCAGACTCAAAATTATTTTTCCTGACTTGGGTGAGTTGGTGAAAGTAACCCACCAGGACAATTTAAATATAAAACAAACCAGAGATTAGAACATCACTGGTTTCCCGCAATAGGTTAGTCTGCATTTAATTTACGAAAGTACAAGCCTTATTCACCAAACACTCGTTAGGATACTTGAGATAGAAAAGTGAACTGGTCCAAAATCAAGACCCATAACACTCCAGAAAGGACAAGATTTAAAAAAAAAAACATGGAACAAAAAAACAGCACTTATTCACTGGACACAGCAAAGGCAGTGCTCTTCAACAATGCAATTTTTAACTGCCATTACTATATTAATTCCAAACCTACAAAATAAATTTGCTGACCCATTTTCTCATCAAATTTAGAACACACAAAAAAAACAAAAAATGTAAGTTGTTGACCATAAATTTGGAAGAAAATGAGCTGCTTGAGGCCAAAGCATGCCTCCACTTATCTTGTTGACTAGTGGCTGTGTCACAGAGAGTGCGCTGAAATGGCCTGCCATGCTGAATCCCACATTGTGGTTGTGAGCCTGTGGTGCTAGGCTGACGTGCCATTCACCATGGACTTGTCCTGTTTGTTGTCGGGTAAGGCTACGCCACTGCCTGAGCTATTGGAGCTACCGGTGGAGCTGCCGGGGTTGCCTCCACCCCTCTTGGAAGGGGGCGGGCGTGGGCCTCGGCCCTTCGGCTCCCTCGGAGGCTTGGGGTTGCTGTTGAGGTCGCCTGACAGCACCGAGGAAGAGGAGGCTTCAATGTTCACAGATGGTATGGGTCCGCCTGAAAATGCACAAGGGACATTGTCAGATGCTGCGATAAACTAAGGAAAGTTTTCACTCCTATAGTTAATAAACATGCTCAACAGATGAATAGAACCCATGCAAGAAGGAAGACATAGAAGAGGTCAGTAGTTAGTTCTTAATCTTGAGGACCGTTTTGAAATAGTGCTAAGTGGTACAGACTAAATACTTATGTAAGAGTGTTACCACAAAAAAGCAGCAGGAACAGAACAAGAGTTTTTGTTATAAGATGGTTGAAGAGCACCCTTTGTTGGATTAAAATTCTTTAAAAATACCCATACCAGGGCTTGAATAGGGGTCAGTTAAGTTAAGGAAGAAAAGTACAGGGTAAAAAAAAAATACACCCTTATAGAGCTGACACCTCGACTTGGTGCCATTCCTCGACCAGTTATTTAAACTGACCATGAAGATCTGAGTGTGCCCCTATCAAATAGATGTCGATCTCTCCAATAGTCAACAGGCTGGTATACTTTTCTAGCCTTGCACCTTTTTCACCAACTCACCCCTAAGCAGCAAATAGATACAAATGGTATACCCCCAATGTCACTCCAAGTTAGTTTGTAATAGCAGAAAACTACCCCCAGTTACACGTCAGGTTAGTCAAAAGAAAGAACCACATTAGGAACGAATGGCACCACCGACTGCAGTTTCAATAGGTCCATACCTGCTCCATTAGTGGAGGTGACAGGCTGGTTCCCACCCTTGCTAGGGGGAACACTTGAGCCTGGGCCAGCATCGGCCACCTTGGGGTCTGCACTGTGAGTCTGAGGCCCATTGGGACCACTGGTGTCATTTGGGCCCGAACTCGGCCCGCCTCGCGACTCTCGTGGGCCAACGTTCCCGCTAAATGCCCCCCTTCTCCGCCGACGCCTTGGTCGGCCCGCGCCGTCCATACTAGACACAGATTCTAAACAGACAGACAGGCAAACGTCAACCCATTGCCACACTGTCAAACCCTGTGTGGAGGACTCCACACTTGGCCGTCTCCACACTTGGAGTATGTGGAGTAGCTCACAGAAGCGCGACTGTCTAGGACACCACTTTCAGGACACCCGTTTGGATCAAGCTCCCCTGTGGTCACAAATCATATGTCTGCCCACTCACTACTCATGCAGTAAGAAGACAGCGAAGGACAGCCAGAAGAGCACAGGTTTCTTTTAACAGTGGGGGTAAGTTGGGGAGGAAAAGTACAGGGTAAGTAAAGTGCAACCCTCATGGAGCTGATATCATACCTCGACCAGTCATACTCAACATAAAAATCTGAGTGCGAGATCCCAGTTAAACGGATGTTGAGGTCTTCTGTAGGAGGCCCACATGGGGGTGTTCTTTTCTTACCACGTACTTTTCTTCCCCAACCTATCCCTCCGGCCTCCAAGGGTAAATTTTATACAAGCAAAATGAGGTTCCATACACAAACTAAAAATATCCCTTGGCATATGAAAATAAACTTGAATTTCTAGGGCAGGCACAAATTAAGATGATTTTCACTATGTATTACTTAGCCTCTTGACAAAGAAACCAGATTGACAAGGTTTCAAAATTTCACAGCGAAAGCAGAGAAGGCTTCTTAAGCAATTATCAGATCACAGTTCAAATTGGGCTTAACATCCGGAAAAAAATTGTGGGTTTAGAAGTGCCACATGCAATTGGATATGAAAGGCTGTTTCATCTGTCATTACAAATTTGAAACTCATGAAACAACAAACTGTGCAAAGGTAAGATTCTATAGGATAGTAACAAAGTGCAAAGAATTTTGACCGTTCATCAAAACAAACAATGCCCATTATCAACAATTAATAAGATATAGATTTTTTAAAATGAGACTATTGCATACTCTAAGCATATTCTCTTATAGAGTGCCTAACACTCTTGAGCAAAGCACTGAATCAAGGCATGATTACAGTAGAGCTATAAATTGCATAAGTAGGTGGGCAACTCGAGGCCGACACTTAAACATACTTGGCATTGCGGACAGCTAGGTAATACAATGCAATGAAACTAACACAAACATCTACACTGTAAAACAAAGTGTGGAGAATACCACTCTTGAAATGCAGAGGTGTGGAATTTCCAGTCTCGATACTTGGAAGTGCAGAGTTTGGCTAGGGTCAGGGCGGGGAAGAACTGGACAGGGGAAGAACTGAACACCCCATATTTTACTCCAAATGCTGTATGCACAGGCTTAACAACTATCACGTAATGAACTGCTTGAACAACTTTTGACGGTTGTTATGCCTGTGCATGCGGTAATTTAAGTAAAATGTGGGGTGTTCGGTTCTTCCCCTGTCCAGTTCTTCCCCCCTCTGACCCTACCCACACTAGAAGTGTGGAGACTGCCAACTCCACACTTGCAAGTGTGGCGCATCACCCCTCACCAGGAAGTGTGGAGTTGCCCACGCTTGGTTTGGCAGTGTGGTTACCTCTGTCCAGACTGGAGGCCTCCTGGCTGTCCATGACCGTGTCGTCGTCGTCCGTCACGCGCCTCCGGTCGTCGCGCCGCCGCGTGTTGGGGATGGGCCGCCGGTCGTCTCTGTCCCTCTCGGGTCCGCGGCCGCCTTGAAAGTAACCTTCTCTCACACAGTGGCAAACGCCATCCCAGCAACAAAAACAAAGACGGCGTCGCACAGTGGGCCAGAAGACCGGTGAGGCGGCCAAAATTCTAGACGCGTTTTGAGCTCCAGAGTCGCTAAAAGGGACTCGAACCAAACGTGTGACCCCACCAATGGATTCCTCATTCAAAGAGCAGTCCATTGGTGGCGTCACACGTTCGGTTCGAGTCCCATTTAGCGACTCTGGAGCTCAAAACGCGTCTAGAATTTTGGCCGCCTCGCCGGTCTTCTGGCCCACTGTGCGTCGCCAGCAACCAACAACAAGACTCACCTCGGTCGGATCTGGCGTTTCTATCGTGGTCTCTGTCGCCCCGGTCGTTCTTGAAGTCGCGGTCGTTCTTGAAGTCCCGGTCGTTCTTGTAGTCGCGTCTCGGGGGCCCGTCCCGGTTATAGCTCTGCGGCCCGTTGCCGCTCGAGCCTCTGGGGCCGCCGTAGGAACCCCGCGAGTACGCCGCGCCGCGGATGCGCTCGTCCATCGTGTCTGGTGTGTGATGTCGAGATCCTGAGGGAGGACAAGTTGCGTAAACCAGACAGACCAGCTAAAAAATTTGAGATAAAGTCAAAGGCCCTTACATTTCTCGTAAAAAAAAAAAAAATTTGAGTGGCCAGAAGAAAAGCAGAACAAAAACGGATCCAATCTAGTCATCCTTTGGCATAGCCAGACAATATCATAGTTCAGAACCCTGCAATCCCTAACCAAAGGTCTCAGAGCGAAGAGACATGGCGCATACCACACAGGCCAGCTCCACCATTATAGATAAAAACAGCCCCTGACATTTCCGTTTTAAGAACATATTCGCTGAGTGGCCAGAATCTCCCCGAGAGCAATAACATATCCAATCTGGTCATCCTTGCGCATGACCAGACGATACTTCAGTTCAGATCCCTGAATTCCCTAACCTGAGGCCACACTGACAAGGAATTTTCTACAATCCTCTAACCAAATACAGGTACACATACATACCTGAGTTGTACCTGCCCGGGCCGCCGAGCCCCCGGCCCCTGCCTCCGCCACTGCCCGGACCGCCCCCTCGACTCCGCATGGGTCCGCCACGGCCCCCTCGGCCCATGCCCTCGAAGTCTGAGCTGTAGCCTCGATCGTTGCGCCGCTGCACTGGGAAGCTCTGCATGGAGCCCATGTTGGACCCGTGCATACTCCGCAGCTGTTGGTCTATTTCCAGCTTCTCTTGTCGCAGTGCTTCTACCTCCTGAACGAAACAAAGAGAAATGAGCAGTGTCATTCCCTACATCGCAAGTAACTTCACATAACAAAACGAGGCCTACCTTTAAATGAGCTAGGTGGTACTCCAGAAGAACTTTGGCGTTTGCTATACTCTCCATAGTACCAACAAACACAAACGGAACCTGCCCTTCCTCACGTGGAATAGTAGGTTCTGGTTCATTATCGCCTTCAATCTTCACTCGAACCTACCAACAGAAAGAAGTTTGGGGAACAGGATTAACCATGTATTTCTGGGATCAAAACGAAACAAAGTCAGAGAAATACAAAGACAATACTGACAATACTTACAACACCACTTTTGTCCACTATTTCCTGAATTATGCGTCCATTCTTGCCAATGACTTTCCCAACAAGAATTCGAGGAACTTGGATTGATTCTTCACCATATTCTAGCATGCCTCTTGCTTTTTTAACAGCATCTGATGACTACAAAATAAAAAAAAAGATTCAATTACTTCACTGAAAAAACTAGTAGTTTCCCCTCCAGTAGATAATTTCAATGATAATACTCACTTCACCATAAATTTTAAATGTACAGGACTTTTCCTCAAGTTCTATGTTAGTAATACCATCTACCTTCCTTGCTTGCTGAATATTCTGACCATGAGCTCCAATAGCCAAGCCCATTAGATCATCTCTTACGGCAAACTCATCAGAGTACCTGCACAGGGAAAAAAATGGAACATTCGCTTAATGTTGCAAAAATATTTATGAAGAGCAAGTCTGAAGAACAAACGACAAAAAAGCTGCTTTGCAATTAATTAAAAGAGTCTCATGGGAATCATGAATAAATAAATGATCTGTGACTGAATAAATTAGAGAAGAAGAAAATGAAGGAAGGTGTCCAATAAAGAAGTGAGAAATGGTAGTCATAAATTGGTAAAACCCACAAGGTAGAGCAATCAATGTCTGACGTCCAAGCATGCAAACAGAAATCATTTCAAATATCATGCAATGATAGTCGGTGAGACGTTCCAAATTTTCAATTCCGAACCGAGCACTTTTAGAACAATGTCAATTATGTTAGTAACACTTCTGAAAGAAAAGAAATACTAGTCAACTATGTTCCCTTTTCTCTCAGTATTGCACATGCAAATTTGACATGTTGGTATTCAAGTACTTGGCTGAACAAAACAAAAGGAAATTATTCAAACTTCTAGTTAGAAGCAATGGCCTTCTAGTAAGACAAAATGAGCAGGGCATACAACTTGTGCTCCCACCTCAACACTTCCATCAACAAAACAGTATCAAAGTTCCTCAAACTTGCAGCATTTCCTCAGGTGCAACAAGCTATTTTAATTTGAAACAGCATCAGCACTCTTACAGCTAAACAATGGCAGGTAATCTCATTACACCACCATTTAATGAAGCAAATGGATAATGTTGCAAATCTATTAGCATCAAACAAAATTCCTAGTTATTCCAAAATATAAAAACGAAGTTGTCAGTTGGCGATTCCACTACAGTACTTTTGATCACACTATGTAAGCATGATTCAACATGACCAAAATAGGCTGCGTAAAAATGGATCACACAAACTAAGACAACAGACTTTCTTTAAATTGGCTTGCATTATACTTTTGATTATGTGCTACGTGAGATGACTTGCAGGCTCCAAAGAAATTTAATGGTGATACTTTTATCTCACCTCGCATTGCCTCTCATTCCTGCCTCGTTTGAGACACGTTGATACGTTAAGTTTGATGCTCTAAATTTGCTGTGGACAAAGTAAAATGATAGCATTTATCAAGCAGAGCACAATGAGTGCGCCTAAATTCCTTCCATGCTCCGAGCAAACATAAATGTTGGGGCATCAGTGCCAAAAGCTCCCACAGACACAGAACATAAAATACATCAAGCTTAAAGGATGATTGGCAGGGTTTCAGTGCAGAGGTTTGGGTCTAGTCTATGAGTCATCTCCAGACCTAACATCACAATGATACAATTACACATAACTTAAGACAATACTTTATGATAAAAGATTGGTATTAGGATGGTGAAGGAGGTAAAATGGACACCACAAAATAGCTACAACAAAACAAAGAAAGTTTAAAACAATTAAAGTAAACTGAAAGACTGGGAATACAGAATGATGTCGCAATTTGTTGATGGGTAAAGAAAGTGAACTGGGTCCTAACACAGAAGGGAGGATTTAATACTTGATACAATTTTCTTTGAATGAATACTTCCAGTCTGAAGCAAGAAAGATTTATCATGATCCACACATAAATCAGGTTTATCAAAGGAAATTTGGGAGGACATAATGATCCAAATTACTACCACAGACAGAGCCAAACCACAAAGTCCTAGTTTTTCTAAAGAGCTGTACTCACCCTCCCGTGGTGTTCAGTTTGGTTGATTCAAGTTGCCTGGCTGCTTCTTCAGTTCGTTTCAATAACAAAACTTTCTGACTTAAATTACGAAAATGCATTTCTTGAAGAAGTGTTGAGCGCTTGCTTGAGTCTTCAGTTCGAGATAAAACCACCAAGTTACCAGTGTCAGCTTCAAACTTAACTATAGCAGCACCAATGGCTTTTTGGAATTCTTTGTGAGCTCCATCCATTTTAGCACTGAAAGAAGATACACATAATTAGTGAGAATGAGGGTTATGTGAGAATTAACATATTAAGAAAATATTAACTTACGCCTCTCTCAGATCTTCAGGTACTAAAATCTCAAATTTGCAAAATGTATTCCGATCAATTGGAGGATTGGTGTTCTTTGGTCGGACTCGATCCAGAGGCACAATTTCTGTATATGTATTATCCCATCCCAAATATTCTACCACATGAAAATCGCCCTTCGTCATTTTCACAATGGCTTTCCACCATCCTGAGACCTCTTGTTCTGTGGCACTTGAAAATACTTCCACCTCTTGTTTCTCCACAACATCCTTAACCTCCTTCGGAGGTAAACGGACTTGTGAGAAGGGAAACTTGGACTCCGATTGCCAGCTAAAACATAAAAGCCACTTCTAATTAACCACATATTTCACAACATAAGTAGAGAAATTAAAATAGTAACACTTACTCATTTTCAAATGCAACTGACACCGAGTCGTCATAGATACCAGTGACATATCCCTGAAACAGAAAACAATGTATCTAAACTAAGAAGAAAAACTTGTTAATGCTACCCATGGCCAGTCTGTCATTAATTATTGTCTTTGAATGACACAAAATAGTTGCTTAAATAGTGCTTGATTAAAACGAATTCGAAAAAAAAAATAACAGATCAAATTGTTATTGAGAAGCCTTTCAGAACTATAAAAGTCCAGGAAAATAGATAAAACTGTAATGAACATTAAATGTTTAATGAATTAAATCAAGTATTAACAAAAGAACACCACAACAGTAGGTAAAAGGAATTTAACCCTAAAAAAAAAATAAGAAAAAAATTAAAAACTATTGATTGCACAAATACTTTCAGCAACGAAATCACCTGGTTTCTTTAATGTGCATTAAAGAAATGCAGAATTGTCATAAAATACGAACGACGTTTAGGCCGTCGAGATTTTAGTCACGTTTTGGAAAAATAATTTTACGCCCAACGGTACACGCCGGGAGAGGCACACAAAATGCGAACTAAAGGAAATTTTTAGTGACGGCAACACAACAGAAGCCGCGAATTTCCAGCAAGTCTCGATAAGAATAAATGAAAAGGGTGTTTAGGGGGAATACGGGGTGCAGTGAATCCGCTTGATAACCGAGCGCGAAGGGGCCTAAGCGACAAGAAAGCCCAGCTTTTGCTTGACATCAACGAGGTTCCCGCACCGCTGCGAGGGGACGGCCTAAGCAAAGCGCTTCAATGAGACTTGGGGATATTGTCACGGAAGCACGAGAAGCAAATTTGCCTTTAAGTCGCGAGTGTCGGGTCGTGAAAAATACACGCCCTGTCAAATGAGACATGGCGTCCGTGATACACCGTCGTCTTAACAACCCAAAATAAGACAAACTATGGTCTCGCCGGCGTTGTTGGTGCCCTTGAATCATTCGGCGGGTGACGCAGAAAAACATTTGGGTTCTGAATCTCAGGGTGGAGGCATACTTCAATTGGTACACACCTTGTAATAAGCTCCGTTCTCGCCGCATACCTCGACTGCGAGTTCATCCATTTTGTTCTACTACAACAAGGAGCGCGGAGTGCGTTCACTTCTCGCCCACCGTCGCCACCGCTGGTTGCCGCCGCACGGCGTCTGCGCCATGTTGAAAACGGGCAGTTGCGCGCCGTCGCCGTCAGGTGGCGCCACTCCGGGGGCAGAAATCCTTCATTTTTACGGGAAAAGACTGTCTCACGCCTCGAATTTCTTCGTTCTTTCGCTCTCGACCGCCGAACGCGTTGTGAAAGTGTCAGCATGCGGTCGTGTTGTGGAGAGTGGTTTTGGCCATGCGTGCAAATACTGCTCTGCGGTCGCTGGTGGTCAAAGTTTCTCGGTTGTTGACCGCTGCTGCCTACTGCTGCCTCACCCAGTACTCTGCCAAAAACTTTATTGTTTTGATTCTATTTTCAGAAGTTTTCGCTCGTATCAATGTTGAAGTATCCTTTGAAATGAGCCGTCCTACTTCAAACTTGCAATGGGAGCGTTAAACTAGCGACATCGTTAATTTTTTTTTTAAATATTAAGTCAAACTTTGAAAAAAGGCCCGTTTTTGGACTTGGATCTTGAGCAGTACCGTATGCGGCAACAATCACACACTCATGAACGAGGGGAAACAGGCAACAATAATAAAAAATCAACAATGGAGACTAAATTTAATTTATCCCAATTTACACACGACGAGGAACATTCAATAAATTACAACTATTCTACGCAACTTAAGAGTACTATTCACAGCCAAAATATCGAATCCTAAACTTGTAGTCTTAACAGTACACCGGTCATCTTTGTCAACCTTAACAACTAACTGGTATCTCATCGTAGCTCAGCAGCGAGCGACTTGGGAATGGCATAGTCCCAGCAGCGAGAGGAGCAGCCAGTGAGGCACGCCCCAGCGCGCAGCGGGCCCCAAAGAACACGAAACACTCACGAAGCAGTCAAAGGACCTCAAAATGACGTCACAATAATGCTTTTTTTTGTCGAAATTTTGACTAAAATTTGTCATATTGACATCGAAATGACGTCACTGTGAGCGTTTCGTGTTCTTGGGCTGGGCGTGGGCGGCGTGGACGGCGTGGACTTCCCTCACGGGGCGCGTTGCATTTCCTTTCTTCATTCTGCGCCAAAGTCTTTCGCGTCAGCCAGAGAAGCTGGCGTGGCGCCACTGTCAAACCAAGTGTGGAGAGCTCCACACTTCCTGGGGTGGAGTATTTCTCCACATTTGGACGTGCGGAGTTTTGCTTGCAGTCCCCACAAAGTGTGGAGTGGCTCACAGATCCCCTATCTCTTGGTGTGGTGCACACGTGGAGAACTCCACTCTTGAAGTGCGGAGACTGAAAATGCCACTCCTCCGCATTTCGAGTGTGGCGTCCTCCCCACTTGGTTTCACAGTGACCTGACTCTGACTCCCCAAGCTCGAGTCGCTCCTCGAAAGAGCCGCCACACTGTGACTAGAACAAACAGGGCGCGGTGCGCCGAGGCAGGCGCCGTGCCCCGGGAGCTCGCCGGCGAGCCGTGGCGGCTTGCATCGCGACCGTCCTGGAGCTGGCCCAGCAGGGCAGCAAGCTGCACTGGCGGGGCGAGGCTGCCGCGGTCCACAGTGGGCCAGAGGCCGGTGGAGGCGGCCAAAACTCTAGACGCGTTTTGAGCTCCAGAGTCGCTAAACAGGCCTCGAACCGAACGCGTGACCCCACCAATGGGTTCTTCGTTCGGTGGGCAATCCATTGGTGGGGTCACACGTTCGGTTCGAGTCCCATTTAGCGACTCTGGAGCTCCAAACGCGTCTAGAGTTTTGGCCGGTCTTCTGGCCCACTGTGCCGCGGTCCCTACCGACGCCGGGCGCCGCGCCGGGCGGCGTCGACGGAGAGCGGAGGATGGCGGCACAGCGCGGCCGTCGGTCTGCATCTCTCACACCGGCACGGAGCGTCCCATGAGTGCGAGAGAGAGGCCTCCCATTCGGAATCACTCCACAGGCTTCATAGTGCTTCACAGTGCATCACAGCCCCAGCTGCTTCGCCGAGTCGCGGATCCAGTCGCCGTAGTGCGCCACCCTGGTGTAGACGCCGGGGCGGTTCCGCTTGGCGCAGCCGTCGCCCCACGACACCAGGCCCGTCAGCACCCAGCGGCCTGCGGCAGACAAGCAGAAACAACTTCAAGAACCGCGATGGAAACAGAAGACCCGGATTTTTCGCAACAGCCGTGAGGCTACGGCCGCGAGCGCGTGAGTGGCGTGTGCGAAGCGCCGGGGCGGTGGGCAACCCATCGCACTGCGCTGCACTGCCTGTTGGGTTGCCTACCGCCACGGCGCTCAACCCCTCCCTTAGCAGCAGACTGATTCCGAGAGCCGTTTTCGTCGCTCTGTCTCTCTCGCACCCATGCAGGGCGCCCCATGAGAGACAGAGCGATGAGACGACTCGTCTGAATCGCTCCACAGAAAGTAGTACGTGGAGTTCTGAACACTTTGTCTGACAAGAGCACAGTGGGCTAGAAAACCGGCGTAGGCGGCCGAAATTCGAGACGCGTAGTAGACCAGGTCATGGAGCTGGCGAACAGAAGACCGGCAAGAAAATACTTGAACGGGTCCTGGCTCTTGATCCACAGCGACGTCGGCCGCTCACGCCATGTTCGTGGAAGTTTACCCTCTTCTGACGCCAGTGGGCTACAATCTTCTAGAGCTCCGAATCGAGCGCTAGTAGACTCTTGAGCCGAAAGCACGTGGAATCTTCCCACCATGGATTCCTCATGTCTCGCCGACGCAGCAATGCCATGGTGGGAGTATATCTTCGTTCGCTAGTCAAGCTTCATTCAGCGACTCTGGAGCTCAAAACGCGTCTAGAGTTTTGGCCGCCTCCGTCTTCTGGCCCACTGTGCCCTGTCGCCCTTCACTGGTAGAACTCAAGCGTAGTTTTACGCCTGTCTTCAAGCGTAGTAGAACTACGCTCGGCTTCAAGCGTAGTTCTCCATTTCGCCTCTCTCCCGCCTATCTAAATGCATGGGGGGAATTTCTTCTCTACGCTTGACGTCAAGCGTAAAGTCTTCAAGCGTAGTTGTATGCTTGAATGAAGCATACAACTACGCTCCAGTTTTACCAGTGTACAGTACTCACCGTGCACCTCGCAGGCGAGCGGGCCGCCCGAGTCGCCGCCGCACGCGTCCACGCCGCCGGAGAGCGGCCCGGCGCACAGCATGCCGTCCAGGATGGGCTGCCGGCGGAAGGGGCCGCCCAGCACGTCGGCGGCGCGGCACGTGTCCTGGCCCAGCAGCGGCACGGCGGCGGCGCGCAGCACGGGCGACAGGCTGTCCACGGCGTCGTCGGCCTGCGCGCCCCAGCCCGTCACGGTGCACCACGCGCCCTCGGGGGCGGCGCGCTTGGCCGCCAAGTCCGGCAGGCAGATGGGCTGCACGTGCGACGAGAAGCGGAACGCGCGACCGCCCACCGGCGTCACCAGGATGAGCGCGATGTCGTTGCTGTACGGGCCCTCTGCAAGCAGTCCACAGGCCGCGCCGGTTAGAACAGGGCGCACAGTGGGCCAGAAGACCGGTGGAGGCGGACAAAACTCTGGACGCGTTTTGAGCTCCAGAGTCGCTAAATGGGACTCGAACCGAACGTGTGACCCCACCGATGGATTCCTCGTTCAGAGAGCAATCCATTGGTGGGGTCACACGTTCGGTTCGAGGCTTGTTTAGCGACTCTGGAGCTCAAAACGCCTCTTGACTTTTGTCCGCCTCGACCGGTCTTCTGGCCCACTGTGGGGTGGCTGCACTGTGAAACCAAATCTGCGGAGCTCCACACTTGCGGAATTTGCTGTTTGCGCTTGGAAGTGCAGAGTTTGCAGTCTCCGCACTTCTAGTGTGCAGTTTGCCAGTTTGCACCTTGCTGAGAGACAGGGGCTCTGTGAGCTACTCCACACTTCAAGTGTGGAGACTGCCAAACTTCACACACGTCCATGTGTGGAGAAATGCTCCGCAGCAGGAAGTGTGGGGTTCTCGACACTCTTGGTGTGGCAGGGTAAGTACGCTCACTGAGCTTGCTTGCTCGATCGGTGATCCGCCACTGTCATGCTAGACGGACTTGGCTCAGCGGGCCAGAAGACCGGCGCAGGTGGCCAAAACTCTAGACTCCTTTTGAACTCCAGAGTCGCTAAATGGGATTCGAGCCGAACGAGTGACCCCACCAATGGATTCCTCGTTCGGAGAGCAATCCATTGGTGGGGTCACACGTTCGGTTCGAGTCCCATTTAGCGACTCTGGAGCTCAAAACGCGTCTGGGATTTTGACCGCCACCACCGGTCTTGCCCGCCGCCGTGTTTGACGGCGCAGTCCGTACCTTTCCGGAACTCGGGGTGCAGCAGCACGCGCTCGGCGCGGAAGGCCTGCTCGTGGGGGTCGGACGTGGACAGGTTGTGGTCGCCCAGCACGACGCGCAGCTGGTCGGGCGAGCTGAGCGCCGGCGCCTTGAGGCAGTGTGCCGCCGTGAGCACGAGGCGCGGCCCGATGAGCGCGCCGCCGCAGTGGTGCTGGAAGGAGCGCTGCTCGGCGCGGAAGGCCTGGATCTCCACCTGCAGGGCACCCACACGGACACTTTATGTAGATTCTGTACTAAAACTATGTGGTATTATGAGGTCATTGTGCAATTGCGAGGGCTCAAAAATGCACTTGCATGAAGTGCCTACACTGTCAAACCCAAGTGTGGGCAACTCCACGCACTTCCTGGTGCGGAGTAACTCTCCACATTTGGACGTGCATAGTTTGCAGTCTCCACATTTCAAGTATTGCGCGGTCTCTTAGCACGGTGCACGTGCGTGGATAACTGCACACTTGAAGAGTGGAGACTGCAAACTATGCACTTCCAAGTGCGGAGACTGCAAATCCCACACCTCCGCATTTCAACTGCACTGCCAATCCAAGTGTGAGACAGTCTCACACTTTTGTAGGTGTGGGACATTTTGTCTCACGCTTACAAGTGTGCGCCACGTTTGTCTCATGCTTGCAAGTGTGGGACAACGAAGTCTCACACTTGCAAGTGTGAGACACAGCTTGTCCCACAATTGCTGCCTATGCTAGCTCTGTGGTTCAATGCCACAGGTCCCACGCCTGCAAGTGTAGGACAAACCGTGTCTCACACTTGCAAGCGTGAGACAAGCGTGGCTCACACATGTAAGCGTGGGACAAAATGTCCCACACGTACAAGTGTGAGACTGTCTCACACTTGGATTGGCAGTGTGTGGGGTTCTCCACGCCGCACGCCTGGTTTCTCAGTGTACCTGCCAGGGGTAGGCGCCGTAGGGCGGCTGCGTGCCGCCCACGATGCGCGACGACGGCGACCCCGGCCGCGAGGGCAGGTGGGGCACGGCGCGGGTGCCGCACTGCGCGCCCACCCTCTCGCCCACCACGGCGCCGGCGGGGCCCGCCGCCGGCACGCCGGGAAACTTGGGGAAGCCGCCGGAGCGCCCGGCGCGGTGCGCCTTGGGGGACGGCGTCGTGGGCGGCGTCGTGGCGGCGTCGTGGGCGCGGGGCCGGGGATGCTGGGCGACGGCGACGCCCCCGCCAGCAGGCCCAGCAGGCCCAGCAGGCCCAGCACCAGCCTCGCGGCCATCGCGGCGCGGCGGCCGCGGTCGAAGCAGCAGCGCGGCGTGGCGGGGCGGGGCTGCAACACGAGCACGGCGTTAGTTGGCGGTACACTGGTGAAGCAAAGCTGAGCGCCCTGAAGGGAAGATCCAAGGGGCAGGTGCTTGCAACCTTCATTGTGGTCCGAACGGAGTAGTACGCCCCACAGTGGGCCAGAAGACCGGTGGAGGCGGCCAAAATTCTAGACGCGTTTTGACCTCCAGAGTCGCTAAGCAGGACTCGAACCGAACGTGTGACCCCACCAATGGATTCCTCGTCGAGGGGTGGATCACTCCGCGTCCTAGTGTACACATGTTTATAAACGTTTTAAGGCTTTGTTTAGCGTTTTAAAAGGCACTCAACGCTAAATCGGTCGAAAAACTGGTGAATTTTACCCTTTTTAAACTTGTGAGTACACTAAGTACGGGCAAATTTGTACACATGAGTACACTCGTGATTCACCCCTCGTTCCTCGTGCGGAAAGCAATCCATTGGTGGGGTCACACGTTCAGTTCGAGGTACGTACTCTGGAGCTCCAAACGCGTCCGCAATTTTGGCCGCCTCCACCGCTCTCTGGCCCACTGTGCGCCCCTCCCCCTTTTCTTCAGAAGCGTAGTTTTCCTGCTGTATTCCCCGCCACCAAGCAGCATGGCTACGTGGGTTAAGACAGTCAAGCACTGGTAAAAAAGAAAAGGCACAAACACTGAGATTCCAAACGCTATGAGTATAGCACGTATGGTGCAATGCGCTGGGATATCGCACCACACGTGCAATGCCAGAGCCGTATCGCACCATATGTGCAATGCTTTCCGAAAATGCCCTATGATAATGCATGGGAAAGGAGAGGCATGCACTTCGTGCAATTGACGCTATACTCGTAGTCGGGATTTCGTCATGTGAACACACGCATGAGGGCTCACGGTCCTTGAAGATCAAGGCTTATACTTTACGCATTACGCTGCTGCACCAATAGCGTCTCCATTGAGCGGAATACGCCAGCGGCTGATCCGAGAGTGGCTTTGTTTCGCAAGATTGGCGTTAGGTGCAGCAGAGCAGGACTGGACTCTCGTGTAGTCTGCAGGAGTCGATGTGATTTCGGACGGGCCAGTGGCCATAGCCGGTGCGCGGCAATACTCTAAGCGTTTGATCGTCGCTGAACAGGCTCACCCGAAGCGCTTCGACTCCCTGAGCAAGGATTTGCAAGAGTCTTTGATACGCCAGTCAATTACGCCATTCATGGGGCGTCACACGTTAGGTGCGAGCAGAGCAGACTGGACTACAAACGACGTCTCGGAATCAGTCTGCCACGGCCAGGCCCGCGTGGACGCGGCCGCGTGACGTAACATGCGGACGCCCCTTCTGGTTTGCTCGCCCCGCCGGACAACGACGGCACACTGGCGAGGTCGCCTCACTCACACGCCGCGACGGCTTGCTCTGTGGCGTTTTGGTTGCCGATTGGAGTGAATCAGAGTGAAAGTGAGGAGCGGGGCGGGACGACAACAACAAGCGCAGCCAGGTCACTCTGTCTCTCTCGCACCCCTGCCGGACGCCCCAAGAGTGCGAGAGAGATGAGACGGCGGCGGATCGCTCAGAGAACAAGCAGGGCCAGCCGCACAGTGGGCCAGAAACCGGCAGAGGCGGCCAAAACTCTTGACGCGTTTTGAGCTCCAGAGTCGCTAAATGGGACTCGAACCGACCGTGTGACCCCACCAATGGATTGCTCTCCGAACGAGGAATCGATTGGTGGGGTCACACGTTCGGTTCGCGTCCCATTTAGCGACTCTGGAGCTCAAAACGCGTTTAGAGTTTTGGCCGCCTCCACCGGCTTCTGGCCCACTGTGAGCCGCCGCGCCGATCGCAAGGCTGTTTCCAGCTTATCAGGACAAGAGTCCTTCCCGTCGGCCCCAGACCGGAACTTGCAACCGCGTCTGTCTGTGCGAGAAATAAGAAATCGACCCTGAGGGCGAAATGTTTCCACCCTGAATAATTTTTACATCAGTGCACGTGGTTTATTTCTCAGCTTCAGCTGCTGGCGTGTCAATACAAAATGATTGCTTCCAGTAAAGGGTGGGAATTTTCCCGCCTGGCCTTTCGACTTTGAGTGTGTGCGCCTGCCGCGTCTGTCAAGCTCCACGCCGACTGGCGCTCCAGCGGCCATTTCGTAACCCGTCGCGCGGTGACCCAACTGGGAAATTGGAGGCTGCCGAGAAATTGACAAGATCGGTTTGTCGCTCTGTCTCTCTCGCACGCTTCGGAGAGCTCCATGAGTGCGACAGAGACAGAGCGACGAAACGACTCTTTGGAATCGCGCGGCTGGTCTCGCGGCGAGGCGCGGGGCTTTTAGGCTTTTAACGTCGCGAAGACGAATGGGCGTCGCCGCGTCTCGGGATGCCGCTTCCTGGGGACGAGTGCGCCGGAACCGCCAGACTGATTCCGAGAGTCGTTTTCGTCGCTCTGTCTCTCTCGCACCTGTACGGGACGCCCCATGAGAGCGAGAGTGGCAGAGCGACGAAAGCGACTCTCGGAATCAGTCTGCTCTGCTGCCGGCCGCGCGCCGCCGCATCGGTTTTCAATGACCATCCCGAGGGAGAAGGGGGAGAGAGGGCAGGGAAAGGGGGCAGGGGCAAGAGGGGGAGGGGGAGGGAGGGGCAGCCGGTTCGGACCGTCCGTACTACGCCGTAGTAATAGTGGGCCCATCCCCGTGGCTGTCGTCGCGTGGCGTGGCCTGGCGTGCCTGGCGTGGCCTGGCGTGCATGGCGTGGCCTGGCGTGCTGGGTGGCGTGGCGTGGCGTGGCGTGGCGTGCCCGTGGGTGGCGATGCCTGGCCTGGCGTGGCCTAGCTGGCTGACGCGGGGTTTCCTGGCCTGGCGTGGCCTGGCGTGGCTGGCGTGGCGTGGCGTGGCGGCGTACGTGGCCTGGCCTGCCTGGCGTGGCCTGGCTGGCGTGCGAGCGTGGCCTGGCGCACATGGGCCGGACCGGTCATCGTCATCGGCGCTGTTAGGCCTCAGCAGACCTTTGGAGGCGGACAAATTCTAGACGCGTTGACCTCCAGAGTCGCTAAGCAGGACTCGAACCGAACGTGTGACCCCACCAATGGATTCCTCGTTTGAGAGCAATCCATGTGTGGCACACGTTTTGGTCGGCCCCTTTGGACTCTGGAGTCGAAACGCGTCCGGAATTTTGACCGCCTCACCGGTCTTCTGCCCACTGTCGTCGTGGAATGGGCGTGTCCGCCCGTTTCAAACCGCGGCCGCGACTCTGAATGGGATCCCGCCGCGGCAACCACGACGACCAAGACGACGCCGTCTAGCTGGAGCAACGCGAGCAACGCCGGGCCGGTGGTGCCGTGGTGACGCGTGCCACTCGTGTAAATTTTGTCAGAATGTCAGAAACCAGTCCGAAATCCTGATGAAAATTCGCGCACTTCCACTGTGCGAAAAAACCACAGTGATCCCGTTAATTTTTTGCCGGGATTACTGTAGTTTAAAACACAGGATCTACTTTGCCTGGCGACAGTATTTACTGTACGGTACAGGATATTCCGTATTCCACTCCTCGGTACAGTAAATCCCGTAAAAGTAAGTAACCTGGTCAAAAGTACAGTAAATCCTGTACTCTGACTACAGTTGACAGCTGTACTTATCACAACAGATTTACTGTGATTTTTTCCCAGATGTCTGAAAATGAAATCTGCAAACTCTGATATTGATGGCCCGAGTGCCACAGAACGTCAGAATACGTTTTCAGCTTTCAGAGGTGCCCGAAGTTTGATCAGGTTTTCAGACAGGTTTCTGACATTCTGACAAGATTTACACGAGTGTGCACTGCTCTGAAACCAGGAGAACTCCGCATTTGAAATGCGGAGATGTGTAAGTTTCAATCTCTGCACTTGGCAGTGCACTGCAGTCTTGGTAGTGGGTTCACATTGTCAGAGCGACAAAAACGACTCCCGGAATGAGACTGCAGGGCGAGCAGCAGCGGGCGCGGGGCGGGGGCGGTGGCGGGGGCGGGCCCCTGGGAGGTAGGCGACGGACGCACCGCCGGACAGGGATGCTTCGCGATTGCCTACCTTTGACATTACCATTACCATTACGGGCTAGACCCCAATGCCGTGCCGACGTTTCGCTCCACGCCGCGCGGCCCGGTCCACCCGCTGCCCGTTGCATCACGGGACTCGCGAACCGGGTGGACCGGGCACGGGGTTGGGTTCGGGATGGACTCCGGCCCCCGGGGCCCAGCAGACTCATTCCGAGAGTCGTTTCCGCCGCTCTGTCTCCCTCGCACTCATGAAGCGACCCGTGTGGGTGCGAGAGAGACAGAGCGGCGAAAACGACTCTCGGAATCAGTCTGATAGAAGTACGAACTGTCGCACAGAGCACTCTAACGGACAGGCATGGTACTTTTAGGGGTCAGGGGCGCCAAGGCCGACACCAACCAGAGTGGGGACGTCGTCGCCCCTCCCCTCCCTTCCACGCCACTGTGGCCGCGCCACGGCTGCGCGCTGCGCCGCCGCGCCCCGAGGCTGTCTGGCCGGACAGGCCGTGACGGCCATGACGCAACGGCCCGGGGCTTGACGGGGCTTGACCCGGGGCACCGCGACGGCATGCCGCCCACACTGTCAAACCAAGACCTCCACACTTGGAAAGCGGAGGGGTGCTTTGCAAACTCAACAGTGTGCTCAGCACACTCAGTTCAGCGTGTCTCACAAGTACACTCCGACAAGAGTGTACTCAGGTGAGTACACTCCAACGAGAGCGTGCTTAGGTGAGTACACGCTGAACAGAGTGTGCTGAGCACAATGTTGAGTTTGCAGGCACCACCCTCAGGTTTGACAGTGTGCTTGCAGCCTGCAGGCTGCCCCAATGAGTGCGAGAGACACAGGGCGACGAGCACTGTTTGAAATCAGACTCCAGTCGACAGGTACGGCGGAGCGGCGACGGTGATTCCCCAGGCCAGGAGCCAGGCCAGCCTACACACGTCGCCGCCGCCGTTCACCCACAACCCCGCGGGCCTCGGATTGTATAAGCCGCCAAACGCGGACAATGCCGCAGTAGCGGGGAAAGGGGAAGGGGGGGGGGCACAGAGTAACGAGTCCATTTTTGCCCGCGGAGGCGGCAGGGCCCATTCAGCGAGAAGCGCCACCGGAAGGCCCCGCGTCCCACAGTGGGCCCAGCAGACTGATTCCGAGAGTCGTTTTCGTCGCTCTGTGTCTCTCGCACTCACGGGGCGTCCCGTGTAGGTGCGAGAGAGACGGAGCGAGACTCTCGGAATCAGTCTGCAGAAGCGTCAGGGGGGGCCTCTCTGGGCCGCTGGGCTTTGGGCGCCTGGTTACTTCACAGCGCTTTACAGTGGGCCGGCCGCTCAATGAACGGCAGGAAAAGTTGGCGGCGTAAGCGCGGTAAGACCACGCAACACTAGACACTATAGGCCGTGACGCGGCACAGTGTGGCACACTGCTCCAGCCCGCCCGGCACACTGACCCGCGCAACGCCGGGCGACAATAGGTCGAGACGCGCACAGCGCACAGTGGGCCAGAAGACCGGTGGAGGCGGCCAAAATCCCGGATGCGTTTTGAGCTTCAGAGTCGCTAAATGGGACTCTAACCGAGCGTGTGACCCCACCAATGGATTGCTCTCCGGACGAGGAACCAATTGGTGGGGTCACACGTTCGGTTCAAGGCCCATTTAGCGACTCTGGAGCTCAAAACGCGTCAAAGCGCGTCCGCGATTTTGACCGCCTCCACCGGTCCTGTGCCTGTGGGCCACTGTTGTGTGACTCTGGGCAACAATAGGGGCAGTTCTTCGCCTCTATACCCTTCAAACTGAAGAGCGTAAATGGCTGACTCTTTTAAAGAGCCAACCCCGGGGGTTGGCGCTAAATTTTTAATCCACTAGCAGGCATGCCGCGTAAAAAAGATGTACAAGGAATGTCCTCTGTAATGCGCTTGTGTTTTTGCATTGGCCCGGATGGCCGCAAAAGAAGAGTGTATACTTCGGTACCATGTGCCCTCTGTTTTACTAGCATATGCCTGTCAAGTGGATGTCAACCACTCTGCAAACTGAAGTGTGTACATAGTACACTCTTATTAGAGCATACTTCCAAGTACACTCTTATTTACAGCATACATGCTAGGCACACGCTAAAATAGAGTGTGCCTGGCATGTACACGCTAAATAAGTGTGTACCTTGCAAGTACACGCTAAAATACAGTCGATGAGCCCTATCTAAAAGCATGGGCTAGTTTAAGTGTACTTTCCAGGTACACTCTTATTTAGCGTGTACATGCAATGTACACTCTATTTTAGCGTGTGCCTAGCAAGTATGCTGTAAATAAGAGTGTACTTGGAAGTATGCTCCAATAAGAGTGTACTATGTACACACTTGAGTTTGCAGAGCATATACTAGGTAGGCCAGGAACCCCGCCAGGACTGCGTACCTCCCGCTTGTTTCGAGGTTCCTGGCCCACCAGGCAGGCACACTCTTTAGTTTCCATTCTAGAAACTGAAGAGTGTGCATGGCATGCTCCCCCAGGGAGTCAACCACAAAGCACGCTCTTCCTAGGAGCATGCGTGCAAGCACTCTATGATGAAAGCGTGCCTCTTCGTTGATATGAGTCTGTATAATAGTGACGCAGCACGCTTTCATCCAAGAGAGTGCTTGCAAGCATGCTCCTAGGAAGAGTGTGCTTGCAAGCATTCGATGGCTCCTAGGAACAAAGGCCGATGTCGCGCGCTCCCTGGTAAAAGGCACGATGTCCCGCGCTGCCTGGTAGAAAGACCGATGTCAAGCGCTGTCTAAAAAGGGCCATGTTTGACAAGTTATATCTCCTAAACCGTTAGAGTAAGGTCGGTACAGTAAGCGAGCCGATTTTAGTTCCAACTTAGATCTACAATCGGCTCGCTTACTGTACCGACCTAACTCTAACGGTTTAGGAGATATAACTTGTCAAACGATGGCCGTTTTAGACAGCGCTTGACATCGGTCTTTCTACCAGGCAGCGCGGGACATCGTGCCTTTTACCAGGGAGCGCGCGACATCGGCCTTTGTTCCTAGGAGCCATTGGGCATGCTCTAGGGAAGAGCGTGCTTTGTGGTTGACTCCCTGGGGGAGCGTGCATGCACACTCTTCAGTTTCTAGAGCAGAGCACACTGGCTTGGCGACGATAGGCAGCACTGGGCCGACACGCACCGCGCACCATGATGGTGTGGAGCTGCCGTCTGATTCCGAGGGCCGTCTTCGTCGTTCTATCTCTCTCGCACCTATAGGGGACGCCCCACGTGCGAGAGAGACAAAGCGACGAAGGCGGCCCTCGGAATCAGTCGACTGGCGCCAGCGTGCCTGCGCCACGCCGTGACGCCCTGACCACGCGCCGCGCAGCGCGTCCATCCGTCATCGAATGCCGGAGTCGTCCTTTCGGCGGCACACACTGTGTGACACACACACTGACTGACACAGACGATGGTCCATGCGGTGGGCGCACTGCCAATCCCTCGCGCTTCCACGTAGTGCACCAGCTGTACGTTAATCCGAGTGTCGCTTGGAGGACGAGGACGCCGTCGTCGTCGGCTTGGCGACTTGAACGCCCGGGGACGGCGGCAGAGAGGAGTATCGCACTGCGTCTACACTGCACCACTGGACGCTGCACCACCACACTGCAAGCTGCACCACCACACTGCAAGCTGCACCACCACACTGCAAGCTGCACCACCACACTGCAAGCTGCACCACCACACTGCAAGCTGCACCACCACACTGCAAGCTGCACCACCACACTGCAAGCTGCACCACCACACTGCAAGCTGCACCACCACACTGCAAGCTGCACCACCACACTGCAAGCTGCACCACCACACTGCAAGCTGCACCACCACACTGCAAGCTGCACCGCGCTGCACTTACACGACGAGACGCGCGCCCTCCTGGCTCCGGCACAACGAGGCGCAGGACGCGGTTCGCACTCACGCACACACACACACGCACGCGCGCACGCACACTCGCAGGGGCGCGCCACTGCACTGGCAACAACGAGGGGCACGCCGCCGACACACGCACGCCACGCACGACACTGTCGGCGCGGGGACCCGCACGCCGACTATATACGAATGGCGGCCCCCACCGCGCGGCCACGGCGCGGCCGCCCCCCGCCCCGCTCCGGGTCACCCCTTCCCACACGCCCCCTCCCCCTTCCCCTGAAGGCCCCGCGCGGCGCGCCAAGGACACGCCAAGGCCACGGAGCACGTGGGGCGGTAAGGCCCGCCGCGCGCCGCCGTGTTGACAGGAGAAAGTGAACGGAACGGGGCGGTTGCTGCCGGGCCGCGCTTTAGACCGCGCTGCGCTGGGCGGCGCGGCGAGGCGGTGATGCGCACGCCGGCACTCCGGCACTCCGGCAGTGGCGGATCCAGAGGCGGCTTATTGGGGGGGGGGAAGTCGCACTTTTTGCCTACTTACAGGGGCAGGGTAGCACTTTTTGCCTATTCGGCGGCCCAGCCCCGGGCATAGTGCCTTGGGCAGTACGGCCGTCGGTGCACAGTGGGTCAGAAGACCGGTGGAGGTGGACAAAACTCTAGACGCGTTTGGAGCTCCACTATCGCTAAACAGGCCTCGATCCGAACGTGTGACCCCACCAATGGATTCCTCGTTCGGAGAGCAATCCATTGGTGGGGTCACACGCTCGGTTCGAGTCCCATTTAGCGACTCTGGAGCTCCAACGCGTCTGGAGTTTTGTCCGCCTCCACCGATCTTCTGGCCCACTGTGCGGTGTGGGTCTGCCTCTCTCGCACGCAAGGGATGAACTGTACAGGTGCCAGAGAGGTAAATCGACGGATACACTGGTGCGAGGGACACACAGACCGACCGCGCGGCATTGCTGCAGCGCCACTGCGAGTTATCGCGTAAGGGGTTGACGGGGGCGGGAAAGAGGGGGGGGGGGCTGATTTTAACCGGGGGATCCCCCGGCCCACGCCACACCAATACCAACTTGCACTGTAGGACAAAACTGAAGGTACTGTGCTGTCAGTTAATATACCCCGGCCTTTACTGGTGGTGGTGGTAATGTTGTGGTGGCGGTCTCCTGGTCCTGGTCTAGCCACCAACAGGCCGAGAGAAGCGGTACAAAGAAATTGCCACCCTTCCAGATCCGTTTTTATGGAGAGTATTTTTCGAAGGGCCAGTCAACCAGGGAAAGATAAGAGACGACAACAGGTTTTACTGCCTTTGAAGCACCATGTGTAACGCCAATGAATTTGGAGAGCCAGTATGGAGAATTACTCCGCACCAAACAGCATGCAGTTCTTCATCTATGGTTTCACAGTGTAGCAATTTGGCCTCATCCGAGGGGGTGTAAACACTCCGAGAAATCGTGTACAGAGTACTCGGTATTACGCCGTATTGCGGGGATATTACACGTGTATTACGGCATTAAAACGCCAAAATTTGGCACATTTGGCCCAAAAATGGTATTACAATTACGTGTATTACGCGTGATAGACGGTTTTTGTGTACAGGGTATTACACGAGTGTTTACCCCCTCGGCCTCATCAACGTGCGGAAATCCTCACGTTTGGCTGCATTGGCTACGTGCAGCGCCATGCATCGCCTCGTTGCTACACTGCTGCCGCTATCTGGCGCTGGCGCTGCGTGGGTTGCATCAGCCTCGGCATCGGCCGGGCGGCCCAGCGCCGCGGGGGTGCACAGTGGGCCAGAAGAACGGTGGAGGCGGCCAAAACTCAAGACGCCTTTTGAGCTCCAGAGTCGCTAAACAGGGCTCGAACCAAACGTGTGACCCCACCAATGGATTGCTCTTCGAACGAGGAATCCATTGGTGGGGTCACACGTTCGGTTCGAGTCCCATTTAGCGACTTTAGAGCTCAAAACGCGTCTAGAGTTTTGGCCGCCTCCACCGGTCGTCTGGCCCACTGTGGGGTGCGAGGTGCGCGCAGCAGCGCAGCCCGGCGCAGCCACGACGACGGAGCGCGCGGCATCCGCGGCGCAGTCGCCAGACTCATTCCGAGAGTCTTTTTCGTCGCTCTGTCTCTCTCGCACCTGCACGGCACGCCCCGTGAGTGCGAGAGAGACGGAGCGACGAAAACGGCTCTCGGAATCAGGCTGCAGGTGCTGGGGGTCGTGGCGTCGCGCCCGCATCGCTCGGCCGCTCCAGTTGTCGACAAGGTCCTCACAGCATTGACCCAGCCAGCCCGCCGCCGTGCCGCCGTGCGCGGCGCAGTGCCATGGAGTCGCCCGCCCCGCCCCGCCCCGCCGCACCCCGCCGCACCCCACCCCGCCACGTCCCGCCCCGCCTCGCCCCACCCCGCCCCGCCCCGCCGCGGCCCGCCCCGAGCACCGCGTTGCCGGCAGAAGCCTCGACGCGACCCTCGCCGCTACCGGGCAGACGGCAGCCGGGACGATTCCGATGCCTTTGTCACCTTGCCGCAGAGAGAGAGACGGAAAGAGACAGACGAAATACTGCAGCGGCAGTCTCCCCCTCCCCCTGTGGGCACTAGACAGCCGCCTGGAAGGTAGGCAAAAAGCATGGCCTGACCCTCCCCCCTTTTCAACATTTCTGCGCACGCCACTGTGCAGCGGAATCATCCTGCTGCCAATAGGCCACTTTAGGCCATATTGACTGTGAAGCCGGCCGCAGTGCGCCGCAGGGAGGGAACAGGTCAAAGGACGCAACGTCACTCCGTCCTTTTTCCTTGTCGTGATACGCGGTCAATAGCAATCACTATAGCCTGCGGAGTGCTACTTCTGCCCCCCCCCCCCCCCCCCCGCGGCCAGTCAGGTCGGCTCTGGATCGGCCCTTCACGGCGCTGTCGTCCAGATGCACTGTCTTGCGCTTGCCAGCTCGGAGCCTAGCGCCTGCGAGGTAGGCCACCAACCCATCCCCCGCAAAGCACCGCTGTGGAGACGGTGGCCCACCTCGCCCCTGTCGTCTTCGCAGGGGCGAGGTAGGCCACCGTCTCCACTGGCGTGCGCTGCGGGATGGGTTGGTGGCCTACCTCGCAGGCGCCTCAGGCGCCAACTTTGCGCGTTGTCACAACTTCACGCAACACTGCTTTTTGACTCTGTTGCAGACATGAGCCTCCGTAGGGGTGCGCGAGAGTGACAGTGAGTCTTTGCTTGGAACCAGTCGGCTACACTTCACTGTTTTTCAATTGCGAATCACTGCTTCACTGTTTCACACCTTGCTTCGAGGGGGAAATCACTCACGTAATAGTCGGGTCACCGATTCCTAGTATTACGCGTAACACTGTTAAAAAAATTCTGAAAATTCAGACAACTTTTTTCAGACTTGACGTTATGAAACACCAATTAAGACCTTTTTATGAAATTTCATAACTTTTGTCTGAGATGTCAGACAGGGCAGTCTGAGACCGTGCTTGGTCTGAATATTTGTACCCAGTCTGAAATTTCATAATGAGGGAAGTCATAAAATTAAGATTAGGCTGACTAATACAAAACCAGATATACAAAATAAAACGTCGCGCATCAAAGCATTATGATATTGGCAGTTGTTATGTTGAGGGAGCTTGTTGAATGCAAACTGTGGACAAATCACTTCTCACATGGTTTGGTCCACTTGCTTGCAGCCGCCTGGAGTTACGTTTCAGGGACCTGCCGCTAGGTGGAGCCTGGAGCGCCGCGGCAGATCGCCACTTTGTATTTCCGATTAATGTCATTAAAGTAAATAATTTTTGCAAACAGCATCATCTGTTGCTTTAGTAATTATCAGCTCTAGCCTTTAGCAATAATTTTGAAACAAAATATTACTCCGAAGTCGATAAAACCGCATTTCAATGTTGGCTCTCGCTGGCGTCTGCGTTCGGTCATTAGGTTGGGTGCCCGCATGATCCTCCGAAATGTTGTGGGACACATGGGAGGTTCTATATGAGCTCTCTCCCTCGAACGACGAGTGCCTCAGTCTTATTGCGGACCATCTCGTCTGATATTTATTGAGTAGCGATGGTGACCATGGTCGCCGAATCCCGGCGCGCTTTCAAGTTTGCTCTTTCTCTCACAGGAGAAAAATCGTTATCGTCCAGTAGGTCCGCCCTAACAAGCGTCTAGACCACCACAACAGACTGCCCTTTCCGCAGGATTGCTGCAGGATGAATTCACACAGTATGTTCTAAAATTTTGGACAAAAAGTATGAATTTTCAGCTACAAAGCAGTGGGAATTTTAAGACTTGGCCATGTCTGAATTTTAAGACTTCATTTTCAGACCAAGACGAGTCTGAAAATTAATAACGAGTTTATGTAAAAGTACTTCACTCAAATTAGTCTGAAAATTCAGAAATTTTTTTTAACAGTGAATAGTAATAGCGTAATAGCCAAATTTTAAAAAAAAATCCCTATTTAGGATCCGATATTAGCCTAAAAATGGATAATTTCGAGCGTAATAAGCCTTCTGCACTAGCTTAATAGAACGTAATAGGGAGAAGTCGGGTCACAGTTTTTAAGAGTGATTTTTCCCCCTCGCCTTGCTTTGAGTGAATTCTCGCACACCCAACGCGGCGACGCACAGTGGGCCAGAAGATCGGCGCACAGTGGGGCGAAAACGGAAAAAGTCGCACGAAATTATTTTCTTCACCAAATTTTGTGTATAGTGTATTTAGGGGTCGCTGAATTCATTTCTGACGAGATTTGATCGTGAAAGGCACCCTAAGAGGCGGAGCCAGGTGCGTGAAGGGGGGTAAAACGAACCTTATTGCTGAATTCTCGCAAAACTTTAGATTTGAGGGTTTCATTGGTAGTGAAAATCATTTCTGAGGAGATAAGAAGACAAAAGATATACCCAGGAGACGACCAAACGCGCCTCTTGTGCCGCCAATTGATACTGGCTGCACCCGAGGCCTGCGTAACGATGCATGTCTTGGCGTAACAGCATGACCACGGAAGTTGTCAGTATCACTATCGGTGGCAGTCCAAAACGATGTCTGGTGTGGCACAGTGTCTGGCAGAGCTGGCTGGAGTAGCAAGCGCGCGTAGCGCCTCTGCCGTCCTCTCCCGAGGGCGCGGTGCGGTAGCGGCGGTGTGGCGCGGCGAGACGAAGTCGCATGTTTGACGTCGATTTGAAGGAAAACGGCATCGAACGGCATCGCCGGACGAAATGGACATGAAAGTGGGGTCACCATACTATCTCATCACGGTGCCCGACCGGTTCGCAAATGTTCGCAACTCGACTTATCCCTCGTCAAAAAAGTCACAGACGACGATTTTCGCAAACATTTGAAGACCCGCAGTTTCCACACTTTTCGTTTGAAACCAATTCCAATGAATGGACTGGACTGGTTGATTTTTTGCCTTTCCAAAAACATATAAAACATGTTATTTTGCTCTGCAACAGCGATAGGAATAGCCTTTCTTACCCGACCCCCGCCAAATGTATCATTTTCTCGCAAAATTGCTCTACTTTGAGGTCGCTAAACGGCAAGTAGTAGTTATTTGAGGTGCAAAAAATGTTCGTAACTGTATAGAATGGTCCTTTCTGAGTTCAAAAACGTCGGTCCCATCCCTGTGGGACAAAAACGGCGAAATCGGACTTACGTGCGACTTTTTCCGGTTTCGCCCCACTGTGCGGCGGAGGCGGTCAAAATCCAGGACGCGTTTTGAGCTCCAGAGTCTCAAAATGGGATCGAACCAATGGATTGCTCTCCGCACGAGGAATCCATTGGTGGGGGTCTCACGTTCGGTTCGAGGGCTGCTTAGCGACTCTGGAGCTCAAAACGTGTTTAGAATTTTGGCCGCTTCCACCGGTCTTCTGGCCCACTGTGCGACGGCGCTGAAAACGGTGCCACCGTATCGCTGCCGCTCGCACTACCGCGGTGGCGCAGCAGCGCGGCAATAGCCGTGGCGGTGCCGCCCGCTTAACGCCGCGGAAAACTTCGCAGTTAGCATGCGCGGCTCGGCAGGCAGGCTGATTCCCAACGACACACTGCAAATCCGGTGGTAAGTTTACTTGCCACAAATTTGGCAAGCCGTTTTGAATGCCAAACTTTGGCAAGCTTTGGTCGGAAATCTTCATAAGCTTGCCAAACTTTGGCAAGCTTGGAGGTGTTTCCGAGCCAAGCTTGCCAAATTTTGGCATTCAAAACGGCTTGCCAAATTTGTGGCAAGTAAACTTACCACCGGATTTGCAGTGCAGGGCTCTGTCTCTCTCGCACCACGGAGTGAATCAAACTGAAACCTGAGCGAATAAAATACCATGTCACACCCAGTGTGGAGAACTCTCCGCGCTTCCTGCTTGTTATACTTATCACTCAAGTGTTTTGAGCATTCATAAGATTACAATGAAGATATCTCGCAATTTAAGAACTATATTTCTCTGTACGTCAAACTAAACATTTTGCGCCGATATGTGTAGGAAAATTGCCATACAAGTTTGTGGTAATATTCCTAAACATGTATATGTGAATTGTTTCATATACATGTATAGGAATTTGACTACAAATATTTTTTTTACAGTGTACCGTCAACAGGGGTAATTTGGGACACCGAGGGTAAACTTGGGACAGTCTGCCCTTTCAGCCTTGTTGGTGCTGCCGTCTACCGACGGAGTTTCCGAGCGTCAAAACCGCGGCAGTGTTTTGTTTCAGGGCCTCACGCGGAAAGGTGCAGAAGGAGCATAACATCACAATAGGGTACTTTCGTAGATCCTAAACCGGAAGCAAGCAGACCAGCAGACGCCAAATTGGCCGGAAACTAACCTCTCTTCGGATCCAAAACTATAGCCGAGCTGTACAAATATTGCTCGCGAAACACATATGCACTGCAAACAAGTATCGAACGACTGTTTATGATCAAGTGTGGCCGATACGTTTGACGAACGTCTCTTTCCCATGTCAGGTTTGGATCTACTTCCGCCAACATGGCGTCTGTGTGCTTCCGGTTCAGGGATCTACGAAAGTACCCTATTCATATTTGAGAAACGGGAAAGAAGATAATGAGGTTTTTGACAAAATGTCAAACACTGAGAAGCTGATCCTAGTGCAGGGAGTGAAATTGCAGATTTGCGCGATGGAGAGTCAAAGCTAGCTGATTTAATACTGCTAAGAACGTGAAAAGTGTCCCAAGTTATCCCCGTTGACGGTACGACATGCCACGGTCTGGCGTACACCTACCTTGTAGTGTGACAGATTGTAGGTGGTATTGTGACGGTAGAATAAAGAGACCAATTTGGTTCATGATGAAAGTGACTCAGAATATGTAATTCAGATCAGATCAGAAGGAGTACAGCGTGAATGGTGTCCAAGTGAACGGCCGCATAGGTGTGACCGCCGTTCAATCTGCGTGAGAGGCGAAAGGGAGAGGTTGATCAACCAGATGTATGTATAGATGCCGGCTGGCGCCGCGGACTCGCGTCTTCGCGGATCGCGGTCCAGTAGGGGAGAAAAGAGATAAAACTTAAAACTGACAAGGGTTCCGGCAGACTGACAGGTCTTCGGGATTGGATTGCCGCAACAAGGGCAATTGAAGTCAGCGGTGAGAAAAGTGACGCAAAGGTTGAAACGTTATGGCCTCCCCAGACAGGCGGCCAATCCGAGTAAGCCGACATTGACACAGAGTTGCCGACCACTGCAGCAAACATTGCCGCAGATCCTCTGGCCAGGAGCGCAGTTCGGGGCTGTAGACACAAAAGAGAAATGCGATTCACCCTTCAGCTTTGGTCTTGAAATTTTGATTTACCGTTGTCTGCGTATATTCGTTCAATGATAAAGTGAGCCTCGGGGAAGATTGTGAAACTTTTCCGTGGGGCACCTAGTGACAACGTGGTTGATCAGCGTTTTGTTGCCATCCACGCCTGTTCCAATGTTTATATTTACAAACATGTTATGCAACGTTATTGATCGATTTCCAAATTTCGGTGTCCCGTGCCTGATGTATCGGTTTGAAGCTAAACAGTGTTACGCCAGGACGTGGCGCAGGCATATTTTGGCTTCACCGAAATTTGGTGAAATTTTTGGTAGTTTGGCATATTTTTAATCAATGTTTTAGCTGTTAACGATTAAAATGTTCCCTATCGACAGCAGACCCACAATATTTAACGGAAGATTAGCTAGCTTAATTATGCGCTGTAATCAAGTGCCCCGCCATGAGCACGAAATGAAAGAACAGGTTTATTAGAGAAAAGCAGGACCTTACAATGACCTCGTTGGATTTCGCTGATTTTTTGGTGGTTTGTAGTCCTCCATAGTGGGAGTTAAATGAACAAAATTTCAGAGCTGATTTCATCTTAGATCTTTTATGTGTGAATTAAATTACGAATTATTTTGATTTGTAGCCGTCTTAAATGTTCAATCTCAGCGAAATTTGCTTGCGTTGCAGATAAGAATGTTTATACGGAAACGACCAGATAAGGTCTTTTGAATAAGACCTCTCGAATTGAGGGGACTCTGGCGGGCAGCTTGGTCTCAAGCCCAGCTAACTATCCAAAGGAAGATTCCGATTGCCTGAGTCGGCCTCGGCCACTGCCAATCCTGCAGGATTCGACCGCCAGAATGAGCTCTAAATTAAGTTTTAACGTACTAGGAGCATACAAAATGATCAGTTTATTGAGGTTATCCTACTCCCTTATCGCTGGAGACTTCCAGTTGTTCCCTTAGTCTCTTCAGTGCGTTGAGCTCGAAATGTTGGTAAAGTCGGTGACAAGATGCAAGCAAGTTCTGCTGGTTTCCAACAGCCACCGTAGCAGTGGATAGACGCTATAGGTTTCACAGTGGAGAGACACTCAGAGCTTACGTGGTCCGTCTGGTCCGGGCGCAGCCGCTGCGAAGGCTTGCCCATCGGGGAGGGCCGCGACGGCGTGGCCAGCCACGCAGAGAGCGAGCAGCAGTGCCACGGACGCGGAGGGCCCCATCTCGCGCTTGCCGGAGAATGCCTGTCGTGTACCGTACACTCTTAATGTTTTTGCAAAAATGTGTCGTCAGAGACTTTAAGGGGGGACATCACTCCAAAAACAGTGCTTTTGTAAAAACGTCATAATAACCAAACGGAAAGAGAAAAATTGTTCATATTTTAACAGATAAAGTATAAAACAACACAAAGTCAATCCGCCAGGGCAGTACAGCGCTTTCGTTGAAAACACATTTTTGAGTGTTAGGTTAGACCATTTCGCACTGTTGCAGCGCTGGACGCCAAACGGTTTGACCTAGAACATTGAAATTTGGTGACAGCCTTCCAGAGATGTCTGGCTATGGTGGGTACCTCAATCACATTTCAAAAATAATTTTAAGTTGTGTTTGTTACATACCAAAAAATATTGTTCAATTTTTTTGGTCAAAATTGTTTAATTTTAAACGTTAAAAAAATAATAAAAATTGACCAATCCAAATTATTTTGCTACCCACCATAGCGGCATGTCGTAGGAGCTTCCATGCTAAATCTCCCCGCTGTAGCTCAAAAACTGCGCCCTAGAGGCCTGCAACCGTTTGCAATTTCATGTTCCGAGAAAAACGCGATCAAAGTTGGGGAAACTGGGCTTTTCCCCTATGCATGTTTGCGGCGCACAACGTACTAAAACTGCAATTTTTTGAATTCCGGAATGCGGTTTTCACCATTCGACGCAGAAAGGAATGGTCTATAATATAAACTAATAAAAAAAAGTTGCAATTTTTGATCATTTTGGAGTGATGTCCCCCCTTAAACCAAGTAGGGAGCAATTCGGATCAATTCTCAGCACTTTGGTGTGTGGAGTTAGCAGTCTACACACTTCAAGTGCGTAGAGTAGACCACAAAACCCATGTCCACTTGCACTCGTTTAAATTTTGTCAGAAAGTCAGAAACATGGCTGAAATCCTGATCAAAATTCGCGTACCTCTGATAGCTGAAATTCTGAAAACTTATTCTGATATTGATGGCCTGAGCTCTGCAGAATGTCAGAACATGTTTTCAGCTTTCAGAGGTGCGCGAATTTTGATCAGGTTTTCAGACACGATTCTGACATTCTGACAAGATTTACACGAGTGTGAAGCGTGAAGACTGCAAACTCTGCACTTCCAAGAGCGGAGACTCTGAAGTCCACACCTCCCGTTTCAGCCACGCCCGGCGCGTCCGCGCCTGACGCCGCCACCGCCTGGGGAGCTGGCGGGGATGGAGGGGAGGAGTGGGAGGAGTGTTTGCATGTGTGGGGCTTCACACTCGTCACTCCCGCGCGTGAAAGAGTTTATTGGCCCTGCCGTGCTGTGCACTGCAGTAAATAAAAAGATTCCGTTTCAAGTGATGAGAGTAGCAAAACTATATATAAACATCTCCTAAAATGATTGTCTCACAATAAATTGCCTTAGGAATATTTCCGCGCATCGATTTCGATGGATAGAGCGGATGCACGCTCAATGTTTATGTACAATTTTGTACGTCGTGACGCTTGATTTTAAACCTGAGTACCGCGTTGTGCAGTAAAATTGTACATGATTGTCAACTTGTGTACCGTTGCGCATAAAAAATGTGCTCAAATTTGCATATACTTATGCATTTTTACGCATAACAGTAAGCATATGCACAAAATCGTGCAAGTTACACGTACAAAAATTCTACCCATGTTCGTTTTCCTTTCGACGCAGTCTACACTCGCGCACTAGCCAGCCACACATGAAGGGGCAAGGGGGTGGACGCACTGGGAAAAAGCGTGCAGTTGAGCAGGGCAGGGCGTAAGGTCCTCGGGCGAATAGTTGTCTGCTTGAATGAAGCGTGACGCCAGTGCACTGCAGTGTGGCGTTGAGGGCGGCCTCGCCGATCCTGGGAACCCTGACGCGACCCTGCTCCACACACCGTGACTCACGGTCACTGGGGCGGTGCGGCCCGTGGAGCTTGAGACATGGGCGGGGCGGGGCGGGGCAGGGTGGGGTGGGGCGAGGCAGGGTGGGGCGGCACCGGGAGAGATGGACCAAAGGGGAAAGGAGCCCTTGCCGGTGCCCGGTGCCGCCTGTGACTGATTCCGCGAACAGTCGCTCCGTCTCTCTCGCACTCTTACCCAACACCCTGGGAGTGCGAGAGAGACTGCTTTCCGCGTCGGCGGGCTGCGTCCGCTGCGTCCGCGCCCACCGCCCCGGGGTGCATTACGAGGCCCGCGATGCAACGCGCTCCAAGAGCCGCTCTGTCTCTGTCGCACTCGCAGGGCTCTCCGTAAGGGTGCGAGAGAGACGGGGCGACAAACCACTCCTCTGAATGGGTCGGCTGCTGGCGGCGCCTCTCACGAAGAAAGCCCTGTCCTTTGACGGCGCGTCGTCGCGTCATCGCCACCGCCCCCTCGATGCTGCGCCGCGTTGCGCGTCCCACTCCACTGCGAAACCAAGTCGAAATGCGAAAGTGTGGACTTTGTTCCGGGCAGCAGTTTGAAATTGGAACTTGGACTTTTTTGTTTATTTTATGTTTCAAATAGTTTGGCGTTGTTTATTTGAAAATCGGAGGGGTGGGGGAGAGGAAGCCTCAGACCAAAAGGTTTTTCTCATTGGACTTCAGTGAAGCACCTGAACGTTACCAATTGGGGTAAAATATGCAAAAACTACTTACCTTTTTATGAACTTTAAAAATGTGCACAAGTCAAAGTAGTTGGAGTTTTGAGGTGGGGTTTGCGGCGTTCGACTCGGAATGCATAGCAGAAAAATGAATTTAAAAAAATAAGGCTACTTCGTGCCTAAAAAGAAGGCTAATATTTGTCGATTTTCACTGGTGTCCCCCTTAAAAACATTCATCAAACGTTACGGGAGAACAAAATAATTTGTGAAGTTACGAAATGTTTTATTAGAAATACTTTGCGAACAATTTGTAATAACAGCATCATAACAAACACTTTAAAAAGATTTCGTGCAGCAAAATTACCCAAAGGTTTTTCATAATTTTACGAAACAAAAAACTTCTTACAGTGCAGAGCACATGTCGACTTTGGCTTGCGACGCTTGGGGCGGTGATATAAGTGCTTCACGACGCTGCACAAAATACGAGTGATTTAGAGGCGCTTTCTCAGTCAGCTCCTCAGCTCAGTTTGTTTAGTGTGGGTAAAGTTTTATTTCAGAGCAAAGAAATTAAAAGTATCAACAGCATTTTAATTGTTAAGTAAATGTAAACTCCGTATACTCTCTTTGCCACGGCGCATCACCCTTGCGGCCGTACGCCACCACTCTCCAGGATGAACCGTTTCGGCACAAAGGGACGTCAAACTCGTGGAGAACGACCCGTGTGATATAAATTACACGCACAACGGAACGGACACGGAATCCTCGTCCTGAATCGCTTGAACACACACACAGAGAGAGAGAGAGAGAGAGGAGAGAGAGAGAGAAAGAGAGAGAGAGAGAGGTCGTGACTAGTCATGACGGAAATCAGGTGTGCTCGCGTGGGACAGGCGAGCGGGCAGCGATAATGAAATCTAGCTTCTGCCTCTCTGTAAATTTACAACTGCCTCACACTGTCAAACCAAGTGTGGAGAACTCCTGTTGCGGAGCCCTTCTCCACACGAACCGAGTACAGTTAGCAGTCTCCTCACTTCGAGTGTAGAGCAGCTCACAGAGCCACTATCTCTTGGCACGCTACAAACGTGGACAACTCCACTCTTGAAGGGGACTGCAAACTCTGCACTTCCAAGTGCGCAGACCGCGAATTCCTCTCCTCCGCATTTCAAGTGGTTGATTTCTCAGAGCGGTCCGGCCGTGTTGTGCCATGACACTGCCATGGCTAGGGCTGCGGCGTCATGTCGAATTCGGTGCAGAGCTGGAACGTGTTGCCGGCGACGCCGTTGACAAGCTGCTGCCCCGTGAGACTCATCAAGTAGCTTCCGTAGGGCATCGTTGGATAGTTGGCCAGGCACCAGTGGATAGACTCGTGGTCTAAGTTGTACGCACCCTGGAAGGCATATTTTTCATTGCAGAAATATAATTTTGTCGATGGGGTGAATGGATCCGGTGTTTTCACACACAGTAAAAACTCTACGAAGAACCGCTTTGTAATACGAAGAAAATGAAGGCATTGTAAAATCTTCGAGGAAATGCTTCGTGTTACGAAAGAAAAATCCTTCGTAACAAGGAATCATTTCGTCAATGCGAAGCAATTCTAAAATGCCTTCATTATCTTTGTAGTAACGAAGCAAATACTTTGTAGGCTTAGTGCTCAGAAACGACGCTGGCGTCCTCAGAAACAGTTTTGGGGCTACAGATTCGTCAGTACTTCAAGTCCAAAAGCGATACTTGAGTATCTTTTTTTTTGGCAACACGATTGAGTATTGCCAACAAACGGCCTTACCGAAAAATCTTGCTTTCAAAACTTTAACGGTGATACACAACAAAAGTATCGCCAAAATTTGGCAACACATAGGAGTATCACCAGAATCTGTCAATAAACAAAGAACTATTCCCCTTGGTTTGTTCAAGTCCTGGCCAAATCTTGGCAATACTCCTTCTACTACTAAAAGTATCACCTTTGGATTTAGAGTGTGAGATGGAGTACGCACGGTTCGGTCGTGGTTGTCTATATTACTGAGTCGGCTCAAAAGCAATGTGACCAACCTTGGGAATGCTGCAGTGCCCAGTCATGCTCTTGGGCTTGAACAGTTTGGCGAAGCAGTCGGGGATGTTCGATCTTGCCGTGGAGCAAAAACCCACGGGGAAGCGGTTCAACACGAAGTAGTTCTTCTTCCACTGGTTGTTGGCACGCTTGGCAATTCTGGCGCTGATCTGCAAATTTTGATAAGAAATTCCCCTGGTTCGTTCAAGGATCCAAACGAACCTGACATCGGCATCGTAACGCACGCGATCACTGTCAAATTAACTGTGGAGACTAGATGTCGCGATCCACACTTGATGGGCAGTAAATCTGCACGCTGGGACTAGCAGTCTCCTCTCTTCAAGTGTAGAGAAGCTCACAAAGCCCCTATCTCTTGGCATGGTGCAAAGGTAAAGAACCCTGAAGTGTTGAGACTGCAAAACTCTGCACTTCCAAGTGCGGCGACTGGACATCCCACACGTTCCCATTTCAAGTGTGGAGCTCTCCACACTTGCTTCACAGTGCTCCTTCCAATCGTTCTCAGTGCTCCTTCCAATCACTCTGTGAGTGCGAGAGGGACAGTGATCTCACCCAGAAGCTGTCGTCCAAGTCGAAGGGGACCGCGAAGGTGCCGGTGACGATTTGCGGCGCGTACGGCTTGGCCGGGTTGAAGTGGCCGAACCGTAGGCTGCTGCTGTTCTGCCCCCACGAAGTGTCGTTTTCGGAGCAGATGAGGAACCGCTTGACGGTCATTATGTACGGACCCTGTGGCAACGACAGGCCCCTTAACTCGTCGCCGAGTCAAGAACAAGAATTATCAAAAAGCCGGGAACCAGGGGTGTTCCACCTAACGGACGCAAGAATGAGGTATTTTAACCACTCTGTGAACCAAGTGTTATGGGAACTCCCGAGGGAGTAAGGACCTCGGTAATAGGGCTGACTGCAAATTGTTTATCCGTAATCCAAATGACAAGAAATTCTGAGGTAATCCGGGGTAATTGTGTTTGATGCAAAGGTAATCGTGGAAAAAAAATTATGTAATCCGGAGGTAATCTGGCTGACACGAAATGAGGTAATCCTGACACGAAATTTATCAGTCGTTACCCTTCCCGGGAACTCCACACCAAATGCGGAGTCTCAGTCTCCGCTCTTTGGGAAAGCAGAGATTGCAGTCTCCACTCTTCAAGCGTAGAGTTCTCCACGTTTGCACCATGCCAAGTGTGGAGACTTTACTAACACTTCTGTTGTCAGAACGTCAGAAACCACCTGTCTGAAAACCTGATCAAAATTCGCGCACCTCTGAAAGCTGAAAACTTATTCTGACATTGTGCCGAACTCAGACCATCAATCTTAGAATAAGTTTTCAGAATTTCAGCTTTTAGGAGTGCGTGAATTTTGATCAGGATTTCAGACATGTTTCTGACATTCTGACAAAATTTACACGAGTGGCAGGATGTGTGGAGTTCACCGCACATGAAGACGCACCGCGAACGACGGGATGTTCTTGGCGGAGGCAGACAGCAGCAGCACCGCGGCCACCACGCTGACGGTGTTCGCGTCCATGGGCGCGGTGCGCGCGGGACCGACTGCGTGGCTCGCACCACGCGGCCTTTGGGCGGGACAGCACCTCGGAAACTCCAGTGTAAGTGTATACGTAGGTGAAAACAATAAGGCGTTTTTTGTTTTCGCTTTTTTGTTTTGAAAGCAGCGACACGCAAAGTGGACAGGGCTCTCGAAAAACAGGAAATAGTGTGGGGCGAATTATTCTGTGCACAAATGGAAACGCAATCCAAGCACATTCCACATTTAGGCATCAAAAGCGCCGGTAAGTAAACTGTCAAACAAACTGTGGGAATCGGCCGGGAAGAGTCTTCCCGGTATGTAGTCTTGGACGAGCAGAGTTTGCAGTCTCCACACTTCAAGTTTGTAGGCGTCAGGAGCACCAAGTTATTATATCACTTCTGGAGGATGACCCGTGAATGCAAACTTCACAGAGAAAAAAAGACAGTGTCTGTTTAGTTTTTAAAAGTATTTATTTTTATTACAATTAAGGACAGAGAGGAGGGGGGGGGGGGGTCGTGACTAGTCGTGACGGAATCACGCGCGCTCGCGTGGGACTGGCGAGAGAGCGACGATTATGAAATTCAGCTTTTGCTTCTGTTTACAACAGCTGCACACTGTCAAACCCAGTTCAGAGCACTTCCTGGAACAGCGAGCAATTCTCCACACTTGAACCGTGTGGAGTTTGCAGTCTCCTCACTCCGAGTGCAGAGCAGATCTCAGAGCTTCTATCACTTGACATGGTGCAAACGTTGAGCAGTCCACACTTGAAGTGTGGGGACTGCGAACTCTGCACTACCAAGTGACACTCGTATAAATCTTATCAGAATGTCAGAAACTGTTTGAAAACCAGGTCTTGGGCGCCTCTGAAAGCTGAAAACATATTCTGACATTCTGCAGAGCCCAGGCCATCAATATCAGCATAATATTTCAAAATTTCAGCTTTCAGAGGTGCGTGAATTTTGATTAGGATTACAGACATGTTTCAGACATTCGACGAAATTTACACGAGTGTGAGGAGACTTGCTCCCCTCCGCAAGTGGTTGGCTCGAGCGACCCAGTCGTGTTGGGCGTCGCTACGCGTCGCTAGGGCTGCGGCGTAATGTCGCCCTCGGTGCAGAGTTGGAACGTGTTGCCGGCGACGCCGTCGACGATCTGCTGTCCCTTCAGACTCAGGAAGTAGCTCCCGTAGGGCACCGTCGGGTAGTTGGCCAGGCTCCAGTGGATGGGCTCGTGGTCAAAGGAGTACGCACCCTGCAAGGCGGCAAAGTTTTCCTTCATATTCATCACACTACAAATCTAACTGTCTACTAAGTACACACCTACAAATGCATGCTTGCAAGTGCACACTTAAAAACGCATGCTTGGCCAAGCAGACACTTCCAATGCATGCTTAGCAAGTATACACAAATGCCTATGCTTAGCATGGAGTTGGCGCCAAGCAGGGGCGTCGGAAGTGGGGTTCAGAGGGTGCGCTGCGCACCCCCCAAAATAATCTGGGGGGTGCGCAGCACCCCCCATTTTGATGCACAAAGAGTGAGAGATCATAATGGTAACAAAACTAGTTAACACTCATGAGATGATATTCGATCTAAAACTTGCTTTGCTTACTGGTTTTGATAATTTTCTTTTTTAAATCAAAACCATTTGGCTAGCTTCGCTCGCAAAGAACTCGTAGCGCCGTACTCTGATAAAAAGGACCAAAACTAAATCCTGAAACCAGCTCGCTTCACTCCCTTTTTTCCCGTTCTTTTTCAAAGATTCTGTACAAAAAATTACGTTTTAATGCCTCTAATGTTCTTATGAACGCATAAGTTTAAAGCTTTACCTTGCACTTCCCCTGAAGTCTTACACTTGGTTTATTTTGAAGGATTATTGACTTGTTTATTACAAATTGCACAGTCTCAATCCATTTTACACATGTCTTTTGTCATTTCTCGAAACAAACCTGTTGTGTTAGCTTAGTCCTGAGCTCTTGGCTCGCTTCGCTCGCCAATTATACTGGCCTTGGGAAGTACCGCCTGAAAGGTAGGCAACCCACAGCACAACCCTTTAAATTTGCGCACCCCCCACCCAAAAGTACTTCCGACGCCCCTGGCGCCAAGCATGCGTTTGTAAGTGTGTACTTGCAAGCATGGAATTGGAAGTGTGTTAGTAGACAGTTAGGTTTGTAGTGCATCAGCGCTGTTAGGCCTCAGCAGACCTCGAGCGCAGTAATGTAATTTCGTCGACGTCGATCCGTGGGCCGTGGGGTGTTTTCGCACAGAAGCAACACTGGCGTACCCAGATAGTTTTGGGCCTACACACCTCTGGAAATGTGAGAATGTGCCGACGCGTTCGATTTAACATGAATCGTGTCACATTCGTTTGAACGTTAATCCAGGCGCGTACAGGCCGAAACGTGATGTCACATTTCCGGATTCCCAGTGATACGATTCATAAAGTAAGAAGAGTAGGCCAGGTTGGTCATGGTTGATCTGATTAGGAACTAAAAGCAATATGAACTACCTTGGGAATGCTGCAGTGCCCCGTCATGCTCTTGGGCTTGAAGAGTTTGGCGAAGCAGTCGGGGATGTTCGATCTTACCGTGGAGCAAAAACCCACGGGGAAGCGGTTTAACACGAAGTAGTTCTTCTTCCACTGGTTGTTGGCGCGCTTGGCCACTCTCACGGTGACCTGCAAATTTTAATTAGAAATTCTCCCCTGGTTTTACGAACCAAAATTCAAACGTAAGGGAATATGGGGCGATTTGTAACAGGGGCGATTCGTAACAAATGCGTTTATTAATTTAAGTGGAGGGAGCAGAGGAAAATCTGAGTATGGCCCCTCTTTCCCTTCAAGTACAGGGTCCTTCAACAATCGAAGCGGATGTGATCGGTGCTCAGGTATAGTTTTGGAGGGCGTCTGAAATATAGGGTACACCGAAAACAGGCAAATCTTTCATTTTGAGTTCTAGGAAGTTTCTGTCTGAGGCTCCCCAGGTATGAATCACCATCGAAGTACCGTTGGGGCCTTGAAGCGTGACCCCTTCACAATGTAACCACGTGGCATAAGTTGCTTATACTTTGTTCAGTGATAGTTAGGGACGTATTTCTTGCGTAACAGGCATTTGGGGTGATTCGTAACAGACCCGTATAAAAACAAGAATTGAAGTAGTTTTTGCAACTAAATGCATGAATTATTTCTCGAATCATCTGCTGCCTAATTTCTATACATTTACAGAGCTCAAAATTCATTTTAAAGCGAGTTATTATATTCTTTCCTCCAAAATTGAAAAAATTGAGGTTAGGGTTGTCATAGCCGGTCAGTTAATGCTGAGGCGGCCAACGGCAGATTGTAATGTAGATTTTAAGGCGTCTGCAGGACATCCGAAGAACAACTGCTGGAGGAGATAACATTCCCGACGATGTTTCATTTAATGTGCCCCAGTCCAAAAAAACCATGGGGCATCCCATGAGCCATGGTGGTACATGGGATGCCATGGGCCGATTCTTTCCATGGGAACGATTCCCCGTGATTTTTGGAACAACTTCTTATGGTGTCTAGCGACCCATGGGGAAAGGTACCATGATGCAGTGTGAGTCATGGGTGGCACTTTGTTGCCTTGGCAGAGTCTCTTGCGACTACAACATGATGAGCACGTAGAGATACATGTCTCTTTTGAACTGTCACCCCCTAAACTTTTGACGCTACATCCGATTTTGCAATCATATTTTGTCTGGAGGGCACTGTTGAGATTATATGACCTATAATTGAAAATCAGGCGGAGACTTCAACGCACGAGCAGGACTGCCTTCCCATGGGAAGTCCGAACCCATGGAAAAGTTTGCATCATGGGGAAGGTCCTCCCATGGTGCTAGGCCTGCACCATGGAAAACAACCTCCATTTTTCATGGCATGCCGCTTGTCCATGGTGCGGAACCGCGGTCTCATGGTATTTCAATGCGCTGTCATGGAATTTGTGTCATGGGATCCCATGCAATCCATGGTTTTTTGGGACTGAGCAGGATGTTATGAAAAGCCCCATGGCTGTTACAAATCACCCGCTGGGGCGATGCGTAACAGCATGCAAGGGTTTGGAAAGCGTCTTAGATTTCAAAGATTACGGACTTCAGATTGATCCAATGGAGCTGCACAGTTTAGATGAAGGGCCAGACTGCTCAACTGGCACAAGTTTGACACCGATATGCAGAATGTTCTTAATTTTGTATAGAGAATTCCAAAATCTGTTACAAATCGCCCCATACTCCCTTACGTGACATTGGCGTCCTAAAGCACGCGATCACTGTCAAATTAGTTGTGGAGACTGGATGTCGCGATCCCACTTGATGCGAAGTAAATCTGCTCACTTGGACGAGTGGAGTTTGCAGTCTCATAAGTGAGTGTAGAGTAGCTTACAAAGCCCTTATCTCTTGGCATGGTGCAAAGGTGAAGAACTCTGAAAGTTTCGAGACTGCAAAACTCAGCTCTTCCAAGTGCGAAGAGGGAAAATTCCATACCTGAACATTTCAAGTGTGGACTTCTCGTGTAAATTTTGTCAGAATGTCAGAAACATGTCTGGATTCCTGACAAAAATTCGCGCACCTTTAAAAGCTGAAATTCTGAAAGTTTACGGTTAAATTGACGGCCTGAGTTCTACAGAATGTCAGAATCAGTTTTCAGCTTTCAGAGGCGCGCGAATTTTGTTTAGGTTTTCAGACAGATTTCTGACGTTTTGTCAAGATTTACACGAGTGTATTGGTTTCCACAGTCGTCCTTCCAAGGTAAAAACGGAACCTGGTTTTCCCAGGAAGCCAATGGTGAAGGTATAGGCGATTTCCAGGGAGTTCCTGAGAAAACCAGGAACCGTTTTTACCGTGTCGAGTCTCTTCGTGTGTGAGTGCGAGAGAGACAGTATGCTCCTCATCCTGTCGTCCGAGTCACCGTGAGTGCGAGAGGGACAGTCATCTCACCCAGAAGCTGTCGTCCAAGTCGAAGGGGACCACGAAGGTGCCGGTGACGATTTGCGGCGCGTACGGCTTGGCGGGGTTGAAGTGGCCGAACCGCAGGCTGCTGCTGTTCTGCCCCCACGAAGTGTCGTTTTCGGAGCAGATGAGGAACCGCTTGATGGTCATTATGTACGGACCCTGTGGCAACGACAAACCCTTTCAACCGTCGCACAGTGGGCCAGAAGACCGGTGGAGGCAGTCAAAACTCTACACTGGTAGAACTGAAGCGTATTACTTCTACGCCTTTCTTCAAGTGTAGTGCTACTACGCTCGGCTTCAAGCGTAGTTCTCCTGCTCTAGTGCTCAAACCAGGTCTAGAATTTTGGCCACCTCCACCCATCGTCTGGCTCATTGTGCGCCGCCGAGTCAAGACCAAGAGGTATCAAAAAGCCAGGAACCACACTGAGATTCCAAACGCTGAGTATAAGACGTATGGTGCAATGCAGCTGAGATATCGCACCATACGTGCAATGCCATGGCCATATTGCACCTTACGCGCGTGCAATGCATCCCGAAAAGGCCCTATGCTAATGCATGGGAATGGGGAAGCATTGCACTTCATGTGCAATGCTTTTGCATTGCACCAATTGACGCTATACTCATAGCGTTTGGATTCTCAGTGCATTGGTGCAGTCTCCCAGAGTTTGCAGTCCACTCTTCGAGTGTGGAGCTTTCCCGAGCTTTCCACGTTTGCAACCATGCCGAGCGAGATGCCGACAGACAGGGGCTCGGTGAGCTACTGCACACTTGGCTTGAAGTGTGGAGCAAAACTTCCAGACGCCCTCCACACCAGGATGTGTGAAGTACCACACATGACGACGCACCGCGAACGACGGGATGTTCTTGGCGGAGGCAGACAGCAGCAGCACCGCGGCCACCACGCTGACGATGTTCGCGTCCATGGGCGCGGTGCGCGCGGGACCGACTGCGTGGCTCGCACCACGTGGCCTTTGGGCGGGACAGCACCTCGGAAACTTCAGTGAAAGTGTATACGTAGGTAACTCCAACAAGGCGTTTTTTTGTTTTCGCTTTTTTGTTTTTAAAACAGCGACACGCAGGCCAGGGCTCTCGAAAAACAGGAAATAGTGGGGAGCGAACCAGTCTGTGCACAATATGGAAACGCAATCCACATTCAGGCATCAAAAGCGCCGGTGAGTAAACTGTCAAACAAAGTGCACTGCTATGAGCAGTTGCCAAAACTCGGGGCACTTTTAAAGGCCATAGAACCGCAAAAAAAAAAACGTGGAAAAGTCGGCTTTTTTCTCGGCCAATTTATTCAGAGACGTCTCACGACTTATATCTGAACGCAGTCGAAGCTCCCGGTGCAATATTGCAGAAAGACCAAAAAGCCCCTATCAAAAGTATAGGGGAAAGACACGGAACGTTACAGAAAACAGCGGGATACGGAACGTTACATGTCATTCAAACAGGCCTAGTAACTCTCTTGCTATGAATTAAAACACGCCATTTGGTGTGAGCTCCTGTTTTAAAATTCCTCAACACGTCCCGATAGAATCATATCTCTGTTTGGTCTAGAACTTGCCCGGGGAACAGAAAAGCATTTCAAAATCATGGTCGGAGACTACCGAAACATAACCTATAAAACAAGATTCTGAGCTTTCTATTAACTTCTCAGAGTTCCCGTTTGCACTATTCGACGGCAAAAATTCTACAGATTAATCTGACGACAAGGGCGAGAACTATCAGTGGAGTACAACGCGAGAAACCGTGATAATTCACATGTAACGTTCCGCAAAGTCAACCACGGAGGACATTTTGCGTTTACAGATTGCACCCAAATCGAGCTCGTAAAAACGAGTTCAGTAACATGTGTCTGATAGATAAAATAATAAAGTTTCCGAATATCTTCTCAGAATCGTTCTACGTTCCATATTAGCTGAAATATAAGCATCGAATCTTTGAATTTATGGACGGGGGACATGCCGGAACGTTACAAAATGACCCTTTGGAGCACTTTATCGACATCTTCTGAATTGAAAAAGTGGTGACTTCAGATGGATAAGAGTGGGCGACGTCGAGCCCAACACAACGCACCAAACCGCATCTCAATACGTTGAAAAATAACGATTATAGAGCCAAAAGACACGAAAGATACCCTTATTTTGGCAACTGCTCCTATAGCAGTGCTCTTATAAGAGCAGAGTTAACAGAGCCTCTTTCTCTTAGCATAGTGTAAACGTGGACGACTCCACGTTGTGATGTGTGAAGACCTCTAAGTCTGCACTTCCAAGTGCGGAGACTGAAAGTTACGATCCTCTGCATTTCAAATGTGGACACACGAACACACTGTAAAAAAATTTCTCGTAAAATAACGAAAAATTTTTGGGTAATTTTCTTTTACGAACTGTTCGTAATTTTACAAAAATGTCGTTTATATACGACACATGTCGTATATTTTCGAAATGTTTTCGGCCCATTATCAAGATTTTCAGCTTCAACAAGCGTGCTGTAAAAAATCTTCCAAAAAAATATTTTTTTTCTTCGTAACAACAACTGTTTCAGTTCAAAAAGTTTACGAAATGTTTTCGTATATAAACGACAACTTCGCAAAAGAAAATTACCCAAAAAATTTTCGTTGTTTTTGGACAATATTTCGTAAAGCCTCACTGAACTTAACATTTCGAAGTGATATTGTCTGTAAATTCGTCAATTTGGGAAGATTTCCCTCTCTTTACGAAGTGATTTTGTAGGATTACGATACATTTTGTAATGATTTTGTATAATTGCGATACATTTTGTAAATTGACAAAACAATAACCTTTTTTTATGAAACATATCGTGTAGTAATATTTCGTAAATTCACGATATTTTTTTACAGTGCACGCACGCACACACACACACACACACACACGGCCAGCTGACGACGATTATAAAATGTGTGGCTTCTGTTTACAACTGCTGCAGTCCGGTCGCGTTCGGCTGCGCCACGGCGTCACGACCGGGCTAAGGCCGCGGCCACGTGTCAAACTCGGCGTCGAGTTCGAACTCGTTGCCGGGGACCCCTTTGACCAGCTGCTGTCCTTTGAGCCTCATGAAGAAAGTCCCGTACGGTAACGTGGGGAAGTTAGCCAGGCTGTAACGGACAGGCTCGTGGTCCATGCTGTACGATCCCTGAAAGTCATAGTTTACGTCACTGTTTTCAATCACAAAAGCCAGTAGCGTGCCACCTACACTCTTACACTGTAAAAATTAATGTCCGGAATAAACGACGGATCCTTCGGCAAAAAAATTGCCAACGGTTCCTTCGTTAATTTACGAAGCTCTTCGTATATTTACAAAAACCTTCGTTAATTTTTTGAACGATCTCTGTCGATTTTACAATCACAATGGAAATTTACGAAGCACCTTCGTAAATCTACAAAGATCCTTCGTAAATTTACAGGGAGCCTTCGTTAATAAACAAAGAACCTTCGTTAATATACAGAGAACCTTCGTAATTATACGTCTGGAATTAACGACGGATCCTTCGGCAAAAAAATTGCCAACAGTTCCTTCGTTTCACTGTTAAAAAAAGTCTGAAAATTCAGACCAATTTTTTCAGACTTAGTGGTCTGAATCTGGAATTCAGACTTGAGTCAGAATCTTCAGACAGTTGGTCTTAATTTTACTCCTTGTGGTCTGAAAAATGAGTTTCGGACTCAAGAGTCTGAATTTTTGGATGGCGTGCTTTAAATTTTCGGCGTCGGGGTCTAAAAACAGTCATTTGCAGTAGACGGTCTGAATTTTCATCATGCGCAGTCTGAAATTGACGCTTTATTTTCTGATAAAAGGCATGACTGCGTTTCAAGTGCGATGGACCCTGAATTGCCAGAGCAGTACTTAAAAAACTTTTGCTCAGCTAAGCGAACGGCAATCTAGTGTTGAGTTTAAAATCGGCCTGCACTCCGCTGGAAGCTACAGGATGCGACACGTTTGTCCTGGTTCCGGCCTGGACCGAAGCCCGGGTCACCCGAGCCGAGCCGCTCCGGCGGCGGGCAGCCGAGCAGGGTACTCCGAGCCGAGCCGGGGCTTTCGGAAAATCACCGCTGACCGGCGTGCCGGCCGAAGCCTACCTGCGCGGGGCGGGGGGAGAGGAGGGGGCCCTTAATCCCTCGGCCACTCGGGATTTCTGGACACTTTGCGTCAGTTTTAGCTTGTCTCCAGAGCAGTGCACATCGCATCCGAATACAAGTCCGCGTCGCGTGTCATCTTTCTTGTGACGCTCCGTCGTGAAGCAAAGTTTTATGTGTTACCTCGGCGCTCAGCACAGTGTGTACAGTGCCGGTTTGCCTTCGCCTTTCCGTGCTCCAAAATTGCTTCTGGCTGCGTGCAGTCACCACTCTGAAGCATCGGAAATCCGCGGCCAGCAGGCTGTGAAAGTGGCGTAGCCCTATGCTGACATTGCGTCTTCCAAACTAATGGGACGGGTGATGAGCGAGTGGGTGGCGTTTTGAAAATTTGCCACTCCTCTTTCATCCTTGTCCCCAAAGTATTTTCATCGTGCCGAAAAAGTTTCCACAAAGTGTGCATCTAGTTCCAACATGCTGCTTTCCAGTGTTCACAGCTGCATCTCCTGGAGTCTTACATTGGAGGACTAGGTTTTTTTTGGAAAGGTCTCGCAGCAATATCATATTTAGCTTAAGTTTTGCGCAACTTTGGGTGCTGCACAACAAGAGCTGTTTTACAACTGCTCAATTTTGTGCATGCATTCCATGTTTCTCAGCAATTTAAAACATGCGTCTCCAAAAATATACATCCTGACAGAAGTGGTAATTTTATTACCTGGGCGGCTAAGAATTCAAAGCCGCGAGGTGGAAAATTCAGACCGCCAATTGGTCCGAAAATTCAGACCACCTGGTAGTCATAAAATTCAAAGTACATGCTAGTCTGAAAATTCAGACGACAGGTGGTCCAAAAATTCAGAGTGTCCGGGGGTCTGAAAATTCAGACCACGGGGTTTCAAAATTGACTTCATCCTAAAAAGTCTGAAAATTTCGACTTTTTTTTTAACAGTGTTATTTTCGAAGGTCCACCGTAGATTTACGAAGACCCGTCGTAGATTAACGAAGCCCGTCGTAAATTTACGAAGCCCTTCGTTAATTTACAACAGATTTTGTACATTTACGATTTTTCTTCGTAAATTTACTAAGAACCTTCGTAAATTAACGACGAACTTCCGTTGATTTTCAAAAGTTCCTGCAGGAAAGAAACATTTACAGTGCACTTTTGGACATTCCCAAAAACCATCGTAAAATATTCCGTTGTAAATTCACAACATAAATTTACAGTGTAATGTCTTACAATGAAATTTGACCCATGTTATTCGTATGTTACAGTGAGTTCGGCGCAAGCATAATACGAGGTCAGCTTGGTCCAGGAGCAAAACATTTTTCTCAGTGAGGTTCGAAGTAACCGACGATGGACAAGCCATTGCCTGTCGAAGGCAGGCTAGCGCCGCAGGCCAAGGTAGGTACGCCAGGCGCGGATTGGAGAAACAGGCAGCGAGACATCGTGAAGCCAGTTACGCCGAGACGCGGTCTGGCACCTACCTTGTCTAAATTTCTGATTATTCATCACGAAACCAACGCATTTCAAACTTGCCAACCTTGGCAATGCTGCAGAGCCCAGTCATGCTCTTGGGCTTGAATAATTTGGAGTATGCTTCGGGGACGTTCGATCGCACCGCGGAACAAAAGCCCATGGGGAAGCGGTTCGTCACGAAGTAGTTCTCCTTCCACTGGTTATTGGCGCGCTTGGCAATTCTGCCGCTGATCTGCAAATAAGAAATTCCAAGTGCCTTTTAACATTTAAACGAACCTGACATTCACATTCTAACGAATGTGATGTCAACTTCACTTTCGTCGAATATCGGGAATCGCTCGCCCACCGAGGGGGTAACGACTGGTAAATTTCGTGTCAGCCGGATTAAGGATTACCTCGGATTACCCCGGATTACCCCCAAATTACCTCCGGATTACAACAAAAAAATTCATGGATTACCCCGGATTACCTCAAAATTTTCCCGGATTACCCCGGATTACCTCAAAAATTCGGGTTATCCGGATTACGGATTACCAATTTGCTGTCAGCCGGATTCCCGAAGTCGTTACCCCCTCGTCGCCCACTGTGTCAAACCAAGTGTGGAGAACTCTACGCGAAGTAAGTTCTCCACACACTAAGCGTAAGCAGTTTGCATTCTCCAATCCACTAGTTAAAGAGTGGAGTAGCTCACTGAGCCCTTATCGAGGGGTCCTATTCAAAAGATCTTATCTGGGCGTTCCTCCCAAGACAATCTTATCTTAAACGCAGGTGAATTTCACATAGTTTGATCATTTGATACAGCTACATATCAACATAATTTGTGAGTTTGTTCAAGTAAATCTAAAGATGGAAGATCAAAAAATCCAAAAGTGCATGTTGAAATATGTTTCGCTTACCGTCGTATTTATTCTGACTGTTCAAAATGAGTGAAATTTGCCGGCGTTCACTCTAAATGTCTTACAATGAAATTTGACCTGTGTTATTCGTATGTTACAGTGAATTCGGCGTAAGCATAATACGAAGCAATATTCCTTCGTAATACGAATCTTTTTAGCTTTTTCATTGTAAGATACAAAGAAAAACCTTCGTAATACGAAGGAAAACCACCTTCGTATTATGCTTGCGCCATTTCCTTCGTATTATGGGAAATTTCTTCGTAAGACATTTAGAGTGTTTAAGATAGGATTGTCTTGGGGGGAGCGCCCAGACAAGATCTTTTGAATAGGACTCCTCGCTATTTCTTGGTATAGTGCCAACGTGGAGCTTCTCATGTGTTAAGTGCAAACTCTGATCTTTCAACCGTGGAGACTGAAATAATTTCACTCCTCCGCTTGAGTGCAGAGTTCTCCCTCCTTTCGAATCCGCTCCGTGAGTGCAAGAGAGACAGCGATCTCACCCAGAAGCTGTCGTCCACATTCAAGGGGATCGTCACGGTGCCGGTGACGATTTGCGGATCGTAAGGTTTGGCCGGGTTGAAGTGGCTGCTGCTGTTTCTCGGCCAACCCATATGAAAAAGAAAGGCTCCCAAAACAGCCCGAGCGGGGGCTATGTCCGAAAACGGTTCCACCGGACTGGTCCGGCTGACATCCAGAATGTTAGAAATCCGGCAATGTTTCGGGTGTTGTCCGACGACTAGATTCGGACTCTTTTCGGACTAGCCCGAAGCAAGGCCGGCGAGCAGGGCGGGCTGCCGGGCTGCCCCCCGCCGCCCCCCACCCTTCCCCTCCCTCCCGAAACCCCTCTCCTCCCTTCGGAATCCCCTCCCCTCCCTCTGCAAGTGCAGTGCAGGCAACACTGCAAAGCCCGTGCACTTGGCAAGCCGTTTTGAATGTTGAAAATTGGCAAGCCTGGACCTGAAATACTTCCGAGTTCGCTAAATTTGGGCATTGCTGGCGGCCGAAGCGCTAAGTTTGGGCAAACTGGAAGATTTCAGGTCAGGGCTTGCCAATGTTTAGCATTCAAAACGGCGTGCCACTTTTGTGGCAGGCAAACTTGGCACCGGATTTGAACTTACGATAGTAATCAAATAGTTGATATGTAGGATAAAAATAATTTCCGATGGAAAGCACTTTGGGGACGAGAGTGCACGGGGAAAGGCGAATTAAATGATACACCTCCCGCCCTCGCACTGCCCGTCCCTTTAGTGTTGGGAGATGCACACAGAACAGCAAGCGTAGAGTCACTAGCGTCCTAAACGGTCATCAGCAAAAAAAATTTCAAACTAAAACACACTTCTTTCCGTCCAACTGGCTCGTTCCCAGCACAAGGCTGCGCAAGGCTGCAGCGCGCGGAGGCGACATGGCTTCAGCGCGCCGAGCGAGTGGACTCTGACGCAGGCAAACGCGATGCGTGCACCTTGAAGGGCAGCTGGAGACTGACGTTTTGCGTGCCGAGGCGGCCAAAACTTTCCGAGTTGCCGAAGGATTAAGGCTCCCCTCCCGGCCGAACCAATCAGAGAGCGCCTCCGACCGGCCCGGGCCAGCGGGCTTTTCCGCGCCTGCACCGGCAGGGACAGTCCACCACACTCGGCTCGCTGCCGATCGGTCTGCCGGACAAGTCGCTTTCGGGACTAGGGTCTACGGGCTCCGTACGGGGCAGTCCGATGGAAGCATCATCTGATCGGGCATCCATCGGGCAGTCCCAGTCCCGACGCGGGCTCGTGGCGGACAGTCCGACCTGGTCTCGGGCGCTCTATGGAACAGTCCGAGGGTGTTCGGACTGATTCGGACCGATTTCGACCAAGTTTCGGAACATTTCGCTTTTATGTGGGAAAACGTGTCGTTGTTGGAGAACATAGAGAACTGCTTCACGATCATTACGTACGGGCCCTGATGCAACGACAGACTTTTTCACTCGTCGCCGATGGCGAGAAGTGGATAGCGCAAACTGTAGAGACACTGCACTGCAAACCTAACTGTCTACTAAGTTCACACTTACAAATGCGTGCTTGTAAGTACACACTTACAAACGCATGCTTGGCCAAGTACACACTTACAAATGCATGCTTGCAAGTACACACTTACAACGCATGCTTGGCGCATGGATGAGTTATATGGCGTCAAGCATGCGTTTGTAAGTGTGTACTTGCAAGCATGCATTTGTAAGTGTGTACTTGGTCAAGCATGCGTTTGTGAGTGTGTACTTGCAAGCACGCATTTGTAAGTGTGTACTTAGTAGACAGTTAGGTTTGTAGTGTGCATTCAGTGTAACTGTAAAATAAAGGCGAAATTCCAAAATCGTGATAGGAATGGTTCGATGACGGAAATGAATTCATCTCAACAATACGAACAAAAAATGGTAAGCATGTTATGGACTCAAACTTGAAATTCAAGAGCATGCAGTCGGCTTTAGAAGCCTACAAAAGTAGGATTTTGGACCGTAATTTGATGAGTCCGATACTCATGAGTCCAAAATCCTGCTTTTTTAGACTTCTGACCCCGATTTCCGTTGAATTACGAGTCTGAGCCCGTAACATGCAAGTCATTTTTGGTTCGTCTTGTTGAGATAAGTTCATTTCCGTCATCGAATCGTTCCTATCGCAATTTTGAAATTCTGCCTTTATTTTACAGTTGTGCCGATGCCGAATGCAGAGTCTGAACAGTTCCCAAGGTACAGTGGCTGCGGGTTCCTCGGGTACAGTGAACGCCGTTTCTTCAGGCACAGTGTCTACTGTAATCCCAGGGCACGGTAAACAACCTCTGTCGATGAAAGTGGCATCTGAATTAACAGCCAACCTCCCAGTGTAGGAAGTTGGGAGTTCTCCCGAGTTCTCCACACGACTGGGTTTGGCAAATGCGAACGCACCGCGAAGGACGGGATGTTCTTGGCGGAGGCAGTCCCAGACAGCAGCAGCACCGCGGCCACGGCGGTGACGGTCTTCGCCTCCATCGGAGTCTCAAAACGCGCCCTTTGAGCCGAAAAGCGCAACGGAAACTTCATTGTAGGTACGTACACTCCAGTGAAGTCTTTTTGCTGAAGCGGTGACACGCAATGCAGCCAGAGCTCATAACAAAGCAGAGCAAGCGAGGAGGGGCAAACCATTCATTCTGTGCACATGCACAAGTGGAAGCGCAGTACGGAAACATTCCACATGGAGGAATCAAAACACGCCGGTACACTGTGAAAATTTGAGTCGTCACTTGAAAATTTCAAGGCTATTTTTTTAGAACAATATCATCAAAACAACTTATTAAATTGTTGTCACACCCATGCAATAAGTATAGGAGCTTTGATAAAAATGTCGTCAATTTGTGATGAGATTGTCATCATGTCAAAGTGATGAAAGTATCATCCACTTTTTTTGTGTCATAAAGTGACAACAAATTTTCACAGTGTAAGTACACTCGTGTAAATCTTGTCAGAATGTCAGAAACGTGTCTGAAAACCTGATCAAAATTCGCGCACCTCTGAAAGCTGAAAACATTTTCTGACATTCTGCAGAACTCAGGCCATCAATCAGCATACGTTTTCAGGATTTAAGCTTTCAGAGGTGCGCGCATTTTGATCAGGATTTCAGAATGTTTTTGCCATTCTGACAAAATTTACAATGTATCCATCCAACTGTCGAGAACTCCCACTCGTGTAAATTTTGTCAGAATGTCAGAAACATGTCTGAAATTCTGATCAAAATTCGCGTACCTCTAAAAGCTGAAATTCCGAAAAATTATGCTGATATTGATGGTCTGGGTTCTGCAGAATGTCAGAATATTCTTTCAGCTTTCAGAGGTGCGCGAATTTTGATCAGCTTTTCAGACACGTTTCTGACATTCTGACAAGATCTACACGAGTGCACAGAACTCCTGGTGTGGACTAATTCTCCTCACTTGGACGTAGTCCGACGTAGTGAGGAGTTTGCAGTCTCCACACTTACAGTAAAGTAGCTCATGGATCCCCTATCTCCGGTGAAAACCGTGGAGGTGTCCACACTTGAAGTGTGCAAACAATGCACTTCCAAGTGCGGGAACTGCAAATTCCACACCTCCACAATTCAGGTGTGGAGGGAGAGTTCCGAGGAACGGCAACTCATATATTACTTCGTACGCGGTGGCTATGTTACCCGTATATTACCTGTATATTACCATATATTACTTGCATATTACCACAATTTCGCCTCTATAATACCCCTATATTACTAAATATTACTTTGTATTACTTTATATTACACATACTACCTATATTACTGGTAATATACGTATACTCCCTCGTACTGTACACGGCCAAGGGAAGTTGCCGACCCCTCGGAGAGTTCTCCACACTTGGATTCACAACGCCAAGCCTGCCGGGACGATGTGTAGTTCTGCCTCTGTTGATTTTGGCGCTCGCCGCTCGCGGGCGGCCGTGGCCGTGGAGCGGTGAATCAGCCGGGCCGTCGCGTCGCGCCGCGCGGGGTATCCCCCAAGGCCCGCCGGAGCGGGGAAGGAGGGGGGGGGGCAGCGCGGCACTTCCTGAGCGCGAATAACCCGATCGGATCGTTCGTCACTTCGTCACCAACCTTGGTGCGCTAGTGTTTGGCCCTGGCCCTCCGGGCTGACTGACACACATGTGGAGCATGCCCCCGCCCCGCCCTGCCCCGCCCCGCCCCGCGCGCGCGACTTTCGCTGATGTGAGAGAGGCTTTTGTCGAGCGCGCGGGCTTCCACAAGACACCGCATTGCATAAAACGGTATCATGTAATAATGTATTTTCCTCGGAATGGCTCCGTCCGGGAAGGGTGGCGCGCCGCGCGCCGTGGCGTGGCGGGATACAGGTTGCCCCGTGCGATGCTGCGCTCTGTCTCTCTCGCTCCCCTACGGAGCCCTACGGAGCGCGCCGCGAGTGTGACGGAGACAGAGCGACTGCCGTTGTTCTTGTCGCCGCTAATTTATGCCGCCCCGCCGCGGACACTCCACCCTGAAGTCTGAAAGTGGAGCGGGCCTCCGATAAAGACATCCTGCAGCATCCCGCGCAGTGCGGCCCCGTCTCTCTCGCACCGATACGGGACGGTCTGTGAGTGGCAGAGAGAGAGAGAGAGAGAGAGAGAGAGAGAGAGAGAGAGAGAGAGAGAGAGAGAGAGAGAGAGAGAGAGAGAGAGAGAGAGAGAGAGAGAGAGAGAGAGGCCGCTGCACTGTCAAACCAATTCCCCGGGGAATTGGTTCCCCCCCCCCATAGCCCCTAGATAGCCGCCTGAAAGGTAGGCAAAAAGTGCTACTTAGCCCCCCCCCCCATAGGTCACCTCTGGATCTGCCACTGAGTACATGGACGTGTGGAGTTTGCAGTCTCCCTCCATACCTCAAGTGTGGAGTAGCTCACGGAACCCCTCCCCCATCTCTTGACATGAAGTCGTGTTGCAGCAAACTGAAATGTGCGGAGACTGTAAATTCCACTCCTCCGCATTTCTACACTTGGTTTCACAGCGCGCACAGAGGCTCCCTGGGGACCTAAAGGCATACAGCGCCTGTCGGCGTGTGCGGAGTGTCCTTCCTTCCTCCCGGACCGCCGTGGTCGAGCTGTGGTCGGGCACGCGTCCGGCCTTAATCTTTATGCATCATCGGTCCGAATGGCCCCCGCGGCGCGACGCGCCCCGCCCCGCCCCGCCCCGCCACGCCCCGCCCCGCCCCGCCCCACCCCGCCACGCCACGCCCCGCCCCGCCCCACCACGCCCCGCCCCGCCCCGCCACGCCCCACCCCGCCCCGCCCCGCCACGCCACGCCCCGTCTCACCGCCAGGACAAGGATGCCGTCGGGACGCTCAGCTGTCCGGGCCGGTAAGCTACGTCCGAAACGAGGTCAGAGCGGTTCTGCTACCGGCGGTGCCGACGGTGTGGGAGCGCGCGGGACGGGTTCGGTCTGTCCGGGCCAGGCCGAGGGCCAGGCGTGGCAAAGCGCCGCGGGCTGCGGGGCTCTCGGGGCTCCGGTCACTCCACCGCACAGTGGGCCAGAAGACCGGTGGAGGCGGCCAAAACTCTAGACGCGTTTTGAGCTCCAGAGTCGCTAAATGGGACTCGAACCGAACGTCTGACCCCACCAATGGATTGCCCTCCGAACGAGGAATCCATTGGTGGGGTCACACGTTCGGTTCGAGTCCCATTTAGCAGCTCTGGGGCTCAAAACGCGTCTCGAGTTTTGGCCGCCTCCACCGGTCTTCTGGCCCACTGTGCACGTGCACGGACTCGGCCTCCAGAGGGCGGACCCGCCGGACCCGCCGTTCGGAAGCTAACAACGCCGCGAAGGTGCCAAGGATGCCGAAAGAACGACTAAAGGACGCCACAACGACGCGAGGGGTGCCAAAAGAACGACTACACTGTGAGAAAAAAGTACGGAAAAGGTACGGAACATGTCTGGTCAATAATTTGCCCGGACCGTCCGTACTTGCCAACCACGGAACTTCCGTACTTTTTTTCCGTGCCCGTTTACATGGGTTCAAATGGAGCAAGTACGGACGTTCCGTACTTTTCTCCGAACTTCCGTACAATATTTTTCTGTGCCAGTTCCGTACAAAAGTACGGAATTTTTCGCAGTGTAGGACGCCACAAGGACGCGAAGGATGTCAACAAGGCGTCATTAGAATGTCAAGGACGTCATGAGGATGCTAAAAGGCGCCGTATAAGGAAGCCAAGGACTTCACAAGGATGTCATAGACGCTAGTAGGATGCTATGCTACGACATCAAGAAAGTCACGTGGAGTGCTTGCTGACTGAAACTACAACTTTAGGTGTACACATCTCCTGTCGCTATCCTAGAGATATTGACGATACGGACAACTTTGCGTTACCAGTTAGCTGCTATTACAGTGGCCTGCCCCAGCCGAAGCCGCGCGCCACGCCTGCAGCAGACAGCTTTCGACCAGTGCTTTCGTTGTTCTGTCTCTCTCACACTCTCGTGGGGTGGTCCGTAGGGGTGCGAGAGAGACAGAGCGACGAAGCAGTTTGCGGAATCAGGCTTCCCAGAGTGACTCCCAGTGACTTGCAGCGCCATGACTCATCCCGCCCCGCCCCGCCCCGCCCCGCCCCGCCCCGCCCCGCCCCGCCCCGCCCACTCGGATCGAGATGAACGCACAAAGCTGCCCCGCATTATGCCACGCTCTATTATGACTGTTTGGCGGACCAAAGGCCGAGGCATGGAGGGACTGAGGCGCCGAGGGGGCAACGCGGCGGGGACTTTCGCTTCTGACATTCAATTTGTCCGGAACTGCAAAACGCAACACTCTCGGAGCGCACGCGCACGCACGCACGCGAAAAGGCACTCGCGGACACAGTCATCAGTCAGTCAGGCTGTGAGTCAGATGAGTCCGCTAGTCAGTGGGTCAGTCAGACAGTAGACAGACAGACAGGCAGTCAGCCAGCCAGCTACCGTAGTTCGCTAGTCAGTGGGTCAGTCAGTGGGTCAGTCAGTCAGACAGACAGGCAGACAGTCAGACAGACAGACAGACAGACAGACAGACAGACAGACAGACAGACAGACAGACAGACAGGCAGTCAGTCAGGCAACAGCCAGTCAGCCAGCCAGCTAGTTTGCTAGTCAGTGGGTCAGTCAGTGGGTTAGTCAGTCAATCAGTCAGTCAGCCATTCAGACAGACAGACAGACAGACAGACAGACAGCCAGCCAGCTAGTTCGCTAGTCAGTGGGTCAGTCAGTGGGTCAGTCAGTCAGTCAGTCAGTCAGTCACGTTCAGTGCAACGAAACCACTGCAGTCCTCGGTGCGCTGCTGTGCCGTCTCCGCTCCTCCGGGCATTCCCTCTGGCGGCACGGGGTATCTACCACACTGTCCCGGCGGCGGCAGACGCGCCGAGCCCGCACTACGCCGCGATGGAGAGACTCCGCGCGCGACGCAAGCCATGGAATGGAGTGCCTACACCCCGCCACGACCAATGCACGCGGCTATCCCATGGGTGCAGTGTGGGCTATCCACGCCCGGGGGTCATTGATTGGTGTTTGGAGTTCGGGCTGCCGGAGGCCCCATTGCAGAAAGACGCATGGCTTGGGAGCGCCGTCACACAGTAGGCCAGAAGACCGGTGGAGGCGGTCAAAACTCCAGACGCGTATTGAGCTACTGAGTCGCTAAACAGGACTCGAACCGAGCGTGTGACCCCACCAATGGACTCCTCGTTCGGTGGGGTCACACATTCGGTTCGAGTCCCATTTAGCGACTCGGGAGCTCAAAACGCGTCTGGAGTTTCGGCCGCCTCCACCGGGTCTTCTGCACGGTAAAAACGGTACAGTACCTGGTTTTACCAAGGAAGCCTATGTAGAGACATAGGCGATTTCCAGGGAGTTCCTGGGAAAACCAGGAACCGTTTTTACCGTGTGGCCCAACTGTGCGTCAGCGGAACCCACACTACTACAAGGTCCAAAGCGTGCCTCTTTTCCTAGTGCCCTAGGAAGCACACATTGGCTCTTGCATGCATTGAGACGGCGGAGACGAGGACGACACCTTTTCTCGGGCAGTTCTTTGGACCAGTCCAGCCTTCAGCTCGGATGGTATCGGGTTTGAAAGGGGCGCGCGAGCGGCGGCACCATGGCCAACGTGACGAACGGGACAGCGGGAAAACCCGGGCAGACTCAACACTAGCTCCGCGTGGCGAGGTTGGCAACGCATAGGCCCGGCGTAGGCGCAGGCAGGGGCAGTGCTTTGTTTCGAAGAACCGACTTGCTCGTAGGCTTCTCGGCTTCTCCAGCCACCGGCAGTTCAGAGAAACCACCTCCAGTGGCAAGGCAAGGCAGACAAGGTAAGGTGAGCGAGAGAGAAGGAGAGGAGAGGGCATGCATTTGTCGACTTACAAGTCATGTTTGGATTGGATTCAACTTTCCTCCAACAGTTGTGACTGGTTGGTTATACGGCACGGAGCTTTTCGTGGGTTCCTGAGCCACGCCGCGCACACTGGTGGTGGAGGGGAGGCCGCGGCGCGCTGCTTGAATTTCAAACCGCGTGGCGGGCAGGCTGCTTCCGAACAGTGCCGTCGACGCTCTGTCTCTGTCGCACTCACGGGGCGTCCCGTGCGGGTGCGAGAGAGACAGAGCGACGACTCTCGAAGTCCGTCTCCTGGTGCCTGATTCCGGAGGCTTGTTTCGCCACTCTGTCCCTGCGCGACGTCCCGAGGGACATCCCACGAGTGCGAGAGAGACGGCAAAGAAAGCAGCGTATACTTAGTTGTTCGGAATCCGCTTAGTGCTGCCGGCCGGCAGATGCGCTTTGCTGCCGCGGCCGGCTGCGCCCTGCCGTCTGAACACTGCTTCGTCGCTCTGTCTCTCTCGCACCGCCACGGACCGCCCCATGCGTGCGAGAGAGACAGAGCGACGAAAGCAGTGCTCGGAATCAGACGGCTGCGTCGCGTTGTCAGCAGGCCGATTCCGAGAGTCGCTTCCGTCGCTCTGTCTCTCTCGCACTGCAGCGCGCTGCAGCGTGTCGAGTACTGTGCGTTCCAGTGTGCCGGTGCCTGTAGCCTGGCGCGGTCCAAGCTCTCCAAGTCCACGACGTGGTTGGTGTGCCTGGCGACCCCGCGTTGCGGCAGTACTTACCAGTGTACTACAGACTCTCGGTTCCACAGTGGCCACGGCGGCCAGGTCAAGGGCCACCAAGGGCACGCAAGGGCAGGTAGGTGCTCCACGTCGCCACAGATTCCGAGAGTCGTCGCTCTGTCTCTCTCGCACTCTTGGGGGGTCCCGCACGGGTGCGAGAGAGACAGAGCGACGAAAGCGACTCTCGGAGTCTGTGTCCATCCGCCGGTCGCGCCGCTCCCTTCGCGTCGCCGTCGCACAGTGGGCCAGAAGACCGGTGGAGGCGGCCAAAACTCTAGACGCGTTTTGAGCTCCAGAGTCGCTAAACAGGGCTCGAACCGAACGTGTGACCCAACCAATGGATTCCTCGTTCGGAGAGCAATCCATTGGTGGGGTCACACGTTCGGTTCGAGTCCCATTTAGCGACTCTGGAGCTCAAAACGCGTCTAGAATTTTGACCGCTCCACCGGTTTTCTGGCACACTGTGCGCCGTCGCCGTCCTTCCGAGCCCAGCTTACCGTGCCTGCCTCACAGCTGCGCGGGTCCCCGGCGTCCCCAGCGGCGGAGCAGAACCGCCAGAACCGCCAGGGCAGTGGAGCCGGCAATCAGCCAGGCGACAGACGCGGACCAAGACGCGGCACGTGGAGACACAGGCCAGGAGTGACGGAGACGCAGTGGGTGAGTGTCGTTGGCGTCGTCGGACGAGTACGCGTCGTCGCCGCCCCTTCGCCCCTTCACCGCGACACTGTCAAACCAAGCGAGGAGAACTCCCCACTTCAGGAGTGGATACTCCACTCTTTGGACGCGCGGAGTTTGCATTCTCCACACTGCAAGGGAGTATGGCATGGAGCAAACATGGTGTCGGGGGAGCGCCGGAGTTTAAAAGGCGCGGCAGCTGCTTCGACTTTTTAAACTCCGCCGGCGCTCCCCCGGCACTCCACACTTGAAGTGCCGAGACCGCAAACTCTGCACTTCCGAGTGCGGAGTCTGCAAGTGCCACACCTCCGCATTCCAGTGTGGCGTCCCCCACACTTGGTTTCACAGTGGACGCGCCGTGACGACTGACTGCTTTTCCTGCTTGACTAGCGATGGGATCGGTGCCTTCCGTGACGCCGGCCACGGCGGCCTCCCTGGCTGCGGTGTCCGCGGCCGCGGTGGGGTTGGCGGTGCGCCGCATCAGGGTGAGTACACTGTAGCGCGCACAAGTGCCGCGCCCCGATGCACAGTGGGTCAGAAAACCGGCGGAGGCGGCAAGAATTCCAGACCCGTTTTGAGCTCCGCAGTCACTGGGACTCGAACCGAACGTGTGACCCCACAAATAGATTGCTCTCGGAACGAGGAATCCATAGGTGGGGCTTGAGGTGGGGCCACACGTTCGGTTCGATTCACATTTAGCGACTCGGGAGCTCAAAACGCGTCTAGAATTGCCACCTCCACCGGTGCTCTGGCCTTGGTAAAAACCTGTTGGGAAAAAGGTTAAATTTTTCCCAGTTGACAAAAGGTAGGTTTAAATTTTTTGGGTTACCTTTTGGGGGGGTAAAAAAATTGTCAAAAGGAAACTTCCGGGTTAAATTTTGGGGCGAAATTAATTTTTTGGTAATTAAAGTAGGGAAAAATTTTTGTAAACCACGGAATTTCCGGGGCCTTTTATTTCCCCAGGAATTTTTCCGGGGATTCCCAAACCGCCAAAATTTGGCAAAGCTTATTCCAAAAGGGGCGGTTAAAGGAAATTCCCGGCCCAAAGCTTGGCCTAAAATTTGGTTTAAAAGGGTTTCCAAATTGGCAAAAAAAACTTTTCCACCTTTCCCAAGTTATACGAGGATTCCTGCAACGACATTCCAGATTCCCTTTGTCACAGTCCCGAGCCTCGAGCCGTGCGGCACTGTCGATGTTTCCTTCAGTCGTTGTCGATCTGGAGAAGTCAATACAGCCAATTATTTACTCGCTGCATCCCCACGGACACGAAGCCCTGGCCAAGCAGGCCAAGGACGTCCAAAGGACGGCCGAATGACGAGCCAAGCGGCATTGTCAATGTTTATTTGAGTCGGAGTCGATCAGGAGGAGTCGATACAGCGAATAATTCAGTTGCTGCATCCACTCAGAACACGAGACACTGACGAGGCAGGCTAAGGGAGTCAAAATGGTGCCTTTTTCGTCGAAATTTTGACTGAATTCAATCATGTTGACAAGAAATGACGTCATGCTGAGCGCTTCGTGTTCTTTCGGTCAAGGAGTTGCCCCCAAGGGGGTGACCCACTGTAAAATTTTGTGTTACAATGATTGTGTGAATGTGCAAGAATGTGCAAGATTTCTGGCGTTTTTGCCACACATGTTGCCTACTTACAGGCGTTTTTACCACCTGAATGTGGAATGTGGTCAAATTTTGTACAATGAATGTGGGAAGCTGTTCCCCCCTCGAGTTACCCAACTCCGGGAAGGCACAACTTTGAGCGACCCAGGTCGCCGGAGAGCCACTCGAAGGCACCCCTGAGCCAGTGGGCCAAGTTTTGTCAACCAAAATGGAGTGCCACTATAGTGGCAAGGAGACTACACTGTAAATGTCTTACGGCGAAAGGCTGCAGCCATACATTATGGTGGAGGTTTTCTCCATAATACCAACGAAATTCGTCAAAATATCTATAAGGTATACAGTGAATTCTCAATGGTATGTTATGAAGGCTGCACCACCATAATGAAACATTTTCACCATGGAGAATCTTCACTGCAGTACTTCAACATTTAGAGTGCATAATCAATGCACTCTACAAATCGAAGAGCGTACATTGTACACTGTCAGAAAAAAAGTCCGTAAATTTACGGAGAAAGTTACTCTAATTTTGGGAATGGAGGCTCCGTAAATTTTCCATATTTTTACGGAGATTTTCCATATTTTTACGGAGATGAACCGCATTTTTGCAGAAATAAACGCATTTTAACGGTTTACATCCCTCCTTCCACCTTCGATGTTAATGCAAACAGTATCCTTTTAGACGAAATTGATATTCTCCAAAACTGTTTGAAGATCCACTTGACCACATGCTATTAGGATCGGATGAATGGACGGAAACCCAAAGGCGAGGTCGCTTTAGGGAAGGCGTACTCTTGGAACACCTAATCAGTTGGTCACCCAACCCATCGATAACGTGAATTAGTCTGTTCTTTTTGATAAGTAAGGCTTCTATTTCATTTATATACGTAACTTCCATACTTTTACGGAAAAAATCCATAATTTAAAAAAACGGAGATCTCCGTTAAAAAAAATGGACAATCTCCGTTAAATTTCCGTATTTTTACGGAGTTTTCTGACAGTGTATGCTGGAGCATGCCTCCAAGCACGCTCTAGCTAGCGCATGCCTGCCAAGCATGCACTAACTAGTGCATACATGCCATACGCCTCCTGATGAAGGCAACTCCCTACCCCTTATGCACTAGATGCATGCTTCAGTTAGCGTGTACATGGCATGTATGCACTAGTAAGTGCATGCTTGGCAGGCATGCGCTACTATATCTAGAGCGTGCTTGCCGGTGCTTGCAGGCCCAGTGATAGCATACAAAGTACGCTCTTCGATTTGTAGAGCATTTGCAGTGTTGCGTTCGATTCTTGAACTGTGTCGCCTGCCTCTGTCCCCAGGCGCGCGCCCGCTGGCCGGTGAGCGCGCACCGCGCCGTGCTGGTGACGGGCTGCGACCGCGGCCTGGGCTACTCGCTGGCGGTGCACTGCCAAGCCCTGGGGCTGACCGTCTTCGCCGGCGTGCACGACGCCGCCTCGCCGGGGGCGCGCCAGCTCGGCGACCTGGGCGTGCGCGTGCTGCCGCTGGACGTGACGGACGCGGGCAGCGTGGGCGGCGCCGTGGACGCCGTCAAGCAGGCCCTGCGCGACGACCCGCAGCTGCGTAAGTCCACCGCACAGTGTGCCAGCATGGTGCCAGAGGGCCGGTAGGGGTAGGTTGTGGGGAAGAAAAGTACAGGGTAAGAAAAGTACACCCCCCTTGTGGCATCCTATTCCAGTACATGACATCCATTTAGCAGTGTTTTCCGAGGGGTGAATGTCTCAGCGTTCTGGTGTACACATGAGTACATGAGTACGGGTGAGTACACCTTACTTTGCTCACAAATTTCGCATTTGTAAACGTTTAAAGGCTTTATTTAGCGTTTTAAACGACACTCAACGCCAAATCAAGCGAAAAAGTACTGAATTTCACCCTTATTAAACTTGTGAGTACACTGAGTACGGGCAAATTTGTACACATGAGTACACTAGTGATTCACCCCTCGGTGTTTTCACACTCAGATTTTTTCATGTTAAGTTGAAATCACTGGTCGAGGGATGGCTAAAAGTCAAGACCAGCTCCACAAGGAGTGTGCTTTTCTTACCCTGCACTTTTCTTCCCCAACCTTCCCCTCGGGCTCGGGTAGGGCGGCCGAAGCTCAAGACGCGTTTTGAGCTACTGAGTCGCTAAACAGGACTCGAACCGAACGTGTGACCCCACCAATGGATTGCGCTCCGAACGAGGAATCCATTGGTGGGGTCACGCGCTCAGTTCGAGTCCCATTTACCGACTCTGGAGCTCGCGTCCAGAATGTTGGCCGTCTCCACCGGTCTTCTGGCAAATCCACTGTGAAACCCAACTCGGAGTGCGGAGGTGTGGAATTTTCAGTCTCCGCACCCGGAAGTGCAGTTAGTGTCCGCACTTCAAGTGTGGAGTTCTCCACGTTTTGCGCCGTGCCCATAAGAGGCAGTGGCTCTGTGGCCAAAAACTACAGAAAAGAGTCAGTTTTTTTTTTTCGCCAGTGTGGTTTTGCTGTGGTGCGTGGTAAGGTGCCACAGACATGTGAGCGCCCTTTCGCACTGTACCATTTTCCATCCTGCTACGACAAACAGGTGTCCATATTTACTTTCAATCAGATGTAAACAAGCGCGTGGTCGCGCGCGGCCTAACCCCCCCCCCCCCCCCAGCTCTGGGATCCGTGAGAAATTCCTCACGTCCAAGGCGTTCAAGTATGGAGCCCACACCGCGAGCGGGCGCACTTGTTACATTTGATTGAAAGTACATACCGATGCTGTTTGTCGTAGCAAGATTGAAAATGGCACGGGGCCCAAGCGAGCTCGCATCTCTGTTGCCGAAATGCGCTGGCACCTCACCACACACCCCTCACCGTGAAACCGAATATGGGGAACTCCACACTTGCCAGTGTGGAGAATGCGGAATTTGCCGTCCAGAGTGCTGCAGTCCCCGTCCCCACAGTTCAAAGTGTAGGGGATCCCACGCGCGATGCCAGAGACAGGGGCTCTGTGAGCGACTCCACACTTGAAGTGCGGAGATTGCAAAAGCTCCACACGTCCAAGTGTGGAGGACTTCTCCGCACCTGGAAGTGTGGCGTTGTCCTCTCCGCACTTTGGCTTGTTACTGTAAACTTGGAGACTGCACGTTAAAAATGGCAGTGCGCAATCCGTTTTGGGTTTCTGAAGTGGGGGGGGGGGGGTCGGTCATGACCCTTCGGCCACTAGACAGCCACCTGGAAGGTAGGCAAATTGCGTCACTTTCCCCCTGTAAGTAGGCAAAAAACATGGCCCGACCCCCCCCCCCCCCCTTTCCTCAAAATTGTGGTTCGCTGTTCCAGGCCTGGCCGCGCTGGTCAACAACGCGGGCGTGCTGGTGTTCGGCGAGTTCGGCTGGCAGACGCCGCGCCAAGTGTCGCTGCAGCTCGACGTGAACCTGGCCGGCACCATGCGCGTGTCCCGGGCCTTCCTGCCGCTGCTGCGCGACCAGGGCCGCCTGGTGAGCCACCTGGAGCCACCCCCCGCACAGTGGGCCAGAAGACCGGTGGAGGCGGGCAAAACTCTAGACGCGTTTTGAGCTCCAGAGTCGCTAAACAGGCCTCGAACCGAGCGTGGGACCCCACCAAGGGATTGCTCTCCGAACGAGGAATCCATTGGTGGGGTCACACGTTCGGTTCGAGGCCTGCGACTCTGGCGCTCAAGACGCGTTTAGAGGTTTGTCCGCCTCCAACGGTCTTCTGACCCACTGTGCTCCGGGCAGCAGACTGATTCCGAGGGTCGTTTTCATCGCTGTGCCTCACTCGCACCTTAACAGGACGGCCCATGAGTGCGAGAGAGACAGTGCTTCGAAAACGACTCCCAGAATCGATCTGCCCCCTGCGATGTCCGTCCACACGAAGTATTTAGTGCCGTCTCCTTGAGTGCATAAAGCATGTGTTCCTCTCCCCGCTGCAGGTCGTGGTCACGTCGCACTGCGCGCTGGCCGCCCTCCCCGCGCTGTCCGTGTACGCCGCCACCAAGGCGGGGCTGCAGGCGTGGGCCGACGCGGTGCGCGTCGAGCAGGCCCAGTACGGCGTCCCCGTCGTCCAGGTCAGTGTGCTGCCAGGCGTAGCCAGGCGCGGATCCAGCGGGCGAAAAAGGGGGGGGGGAAATAGCCTCCCTACTTCCTGAACGCTAGGCAAAAAGAGCCACATTGCCTCCCCCGGCTGGCCTCCCCCTCAGGGCGTCTCTGGATCCGCCACCGTTTGCTGTGCGAGTCGGACCGTCTCTCTCGCACTCATGTGGCGTTCCATAAGGGTGCGAGAGGGACAGAGCTACGAGGCGCTGTTCTCTTTCGCGGCGACAGAGGCCACAACGCCCAGCACGCAGGCAACACCAAAGACACTGAGCTCCCAGCGGCGCTCTCCAGCGCCGCCACACTGTGGCAAAAAGCTACGGAAAATTCTGTAAACAGCTTGTGGTAATTCTCCGTAGCCCCCTTATCAATATTCTCTGTAGGCTCTTACAGCATTTTCCGTAGGATCGCACAGTATTCTCCGTAGGACCTTACAGTGATCTCCGTAGGACTAAACAATCTTCCAGGTCCTACGGAGAAGACTGTGTGGACTTACAGAGAATACTGTAGGGCCCTACGAAGAATACTGTAAGAGCCTACGGAGAATATTGATAAGAGGGCTACGGAGAATCCTGGCAAAAAAATTAACAGAATTTTCCGTACCTTTTTGCCACAGTGCACCCTGAACTTGAACTTGAGAGGCGAGACGACACACCGAGGGGTTACCCACTCGTTGTTTTAGTGTACACACGATTCCGGATTCCCGCGATTCCCAGAACATATCCCCGAGAAAAAGAGAAAACTTTCGAATAATTTGCTTTGTATTTGAATGTTTTTGTGTGTATCACATGATTACCATGACTTTAAATTGAAACTATGAGGATTTTCCATCAAATTTTAAAAGATTTACGAATGATTCCCGGACTGAGTGTACACATGATTCCCGGAGTGGGTAACCCCTCGCGACACACACGATGTCACGCCGTGGCCCAGGACGCACGGCACGGCACGGCGGGGCGCCAAGCAGGCTCTAGGACAGACCGGGCGGCCGGCGTCACTTCGTCACCGACTCGGAACTCGAGCGCGTCGTCGTGCAGCTCTTTCCGTCGTTCGATCTCACCCTCACCGCGACGCGACTAGCATTAACAACCCTTCATTTTTGTCACACGTCACCGTTTCTAAATGATCGACGAGCAGCAACCGCCACCTAAGGTCCTGCATTACGTAGTAGCTCTCTCTCTCTCTCTCTCTCTCTCTCTCTCTCTCTCTCTCTCTCTCTCTCCTCTCTCTCTCTCTCTCTCTCTTCTCCTCTCTCCTCTCTCTCTACCTCCCTCCCCCCCCCCCCCCCCCCCCCCCCCCCCGTATGCTTTATCGAATTTCGTCCCTCTGTCTCACACCTATACTCTGACCAGAAAACGAAGAGCCCTGACTTCTCGCGGTTTATGGCCTCTGCCGCCTTGGATAGCATTGCAGGTGGCCCTCGACCGCGAGGAACCAGGGCTCTTCGTTTTCTGGTCAGAGGCACGCCCCATGAGTGCGAGAGAGGCACAGCGACGAAAACGCCTCTCGGCACGAGTGTGCCGTGCCAACCCGACCCGATGCTGCAGGTGGTGCCCGGGTCCTTCACGCACTTGAGCGGCATCCTGGCGGCGCACGAGGAGCACGCCCGCGAGATGACGGCGGCCATGTCGGAGGAGGACCGCCGCTTCTACGGCGACTACCCGCAGCGCTTCCACGAGTACCTGCGGCAGGTGGCCGCCATGGGCAGGGAGGCGAGCGCGCGGCCCTCCAAGCTCCCCGACGAGGCGCTGCACCGCGTGTTCGAGGAGGCCCTGCTGGCCGTGCGCCCGCGGCACCGCTACGTGCACGAGCCCTGGCGCTACACGCTCTACCACACCCTCATCAAGCTGGCCCCCGCCGCCGCCAAGGACTGGCTCGTCGTGCGCTTCGCTATGCTGCCCGGCTTCCGCGACAAGTAGCGGCGGCTTACCCCCAAGGAGTACAGAAAAGTCAGTTTGATGTCACTATGAGCTCAAAATGAGAGAAAAGGTCACGGCTAGGTACCATTTTGAGGTCAAAATGATTTAGATTTAGGTCAAAATGACCTCCCCGTGACTCAAGTGTTCTCCTCTCCTCCTCCTCTGACGGTGGTGATCAAATATGGGCCTTGTGAAAAACGTCGTAAGAAATTTTTGTACCTATTTCTTTTATACTGAGAAAGGAATTTTAGTCCGCCCTCTAGGACTACTGGCTGGTGGTCCGGTTCGCCACGCTGCCTGCCTTCCTCAACAGGTAGAGGCGTTTTTTAAAAAAAAAGAAAAAATAAAGGCCGTTATAAAACGAGTTGTGAGAAATTTTTGTACCTGTTTCTATATTGCTGAAGCAATTTTGGTCCGCTGGCCGTCAGGTTCACAACGCTGCCATTCTAGACAAAATAGTGGCAGCAGGAGAGGATTTAGAATTCTCCTGATGGCGGCATTCAAACACGGTCCAGGTGAAGCACGTCACTAGAAATTTTTGTACCTACTATTTATAAATCAATGAAGGATTTTCAGTCTTTAAATAAAATTAATTAAGAGACAGCAGTTTGAATGGTCTTTTAATTGAATTCACCTCCTGACCAAACAACAAGGTTTGTTTAAAACATATGATAATGCGGACAAATTTGAGCACGCCCATATGTTTCCAAAGTGTGCTCACATTTGTCCATAACTCACTATGGACGTTAGGAAGAGATGATGCTCAGCAAGATTCATATTAAAAGTACTGCATGACAGGACACTACAACAAGTAAAAACAGAGTTGATGAAAAACTGATCAAGCCCATTTCAACTTTTTATCATTTAACACGTCTGTAGCTAATAATATAAAAATTATCTACTTTTCTTAACAGGAAAAAAAACCAAAACAAGAAAACAAACAATGAACTGGTAATAACAATGATAAAATTGTGTCAAGCCGTCAACTATGATATTTATCGACAAATTTACAAGTCAAAGAAAGCAGTTTGCATGGTCAAGACCAGAAAGTTTAGATTAGATGGCCTCGGGCTAAATCATAAGGACCTGAACAATAAACTGCATAATTTTCTACATTTCCAGTCAATAGACCCTACACAGGAAGCCTGCCAACATTATTACAATATCTCTTTACTGCTTGTTTTTAAATTTACTAACCCAGAAAATTATTACAATGCTCCCCCAATACAGTGCCCCAGTTCTGCACAGTAAAAGTTACCAGCTTATTATTCACCTGATTGGAAGAAAGCACAAACCTTTCCATCACAACAACAATGGAGGTGGAAAAGTCCCAGTGATGGAAAAGCACATATAAGGATATCTGAAAATAATTGGCAAACAATAAAGACTCATGCTGCACAATTTCCCATACACAAATTGATCAAATCAGTCTTTAAATCCAACCCTTCACAATTCTCCATAATAATAAAAAAGGACAGTATGAGGTGTGCCATAAGATACAAAATTTCAGTTACTAAGCTGCTACTTCGTTAGGTGTATGATACATCCACAACCCCAACTGCTATTGGATGCTTCCAATTTTGTCGCCGCAATAGATTAATTGATTGGCTGAGCTGCTCACTCGATGTTCTGTACATGAATGTTTGGATTGTGCATTGGATCCAAGTTAGGATCATCTTCAGTAGCTCTCCTGCCAGCCCATGAGCAGAAGATTAGAAGACCAATCGTAAAAGATATGAGTGAGGCTACCATCATGCAGCGCCTTTGGGACTGTCTTGAGCCTCCTCGGTTTGTTTGTTGTCTAAAAAAAGATATTATTATTAATGTGCATGTTTTAAAAATCTAACATTTGAAGATCAGGATTTATTGTGGTGATCAGGAACTTACTTCCACCATCTCCTGAACATGTCTATAGCAGAGCGGCGTTTGTACTTGTTTTCATCATGGTCAAACAAAGTATCTCTTGAATCATCGAGGGCCTGAAACACTCGTCTTGGAGCTTGACCTGAAGACATGAAAACAGGGATGGATAAGCCAAAGTTTTCCTTTGTTTCAGGTGTTGAGTTACAAGGAAGATGATGCTAATTTTACCTGAAACAGGATAACTGTAATTTGACAAAGACTCCTCAACATCCACAACTGAGTGAGGTGACGGGGCACGGTCTGAAGATCTTGAGTTATTGACCGCATTATTTGAAATGCTGTTGGAATGGTTCACCTGAGGAATTTGACTTCCATTTGGACCATTGAAATCAGTGACTAACTTGCGTCCCTCTGATGGAGGCTTGATTTCACGGTCTTCACTCAACTAAACATAAAACAAACAAGTTAGAACACAGAGGGTAAGCTCAGGAAGACATAATTGAAAGATGGATTAAGAGGTAGCATACCAGAGGCAATCCAAGTCCAGCTCTTGCCCAATTGACTCCGGCTAGTTTTTCCCGCAGGACATCAGCAACTGGTGAGACAAGATTTGCAGCAGGAAACAAAACCTGGGAGCAGTTGGCAAATGGACAAGTGTAACCAGCTGGCGCAGTTGTGGCTGGAAGGCGTCTTGCATGGGCATCAAGACATCCCCAATGGAATACGTCTGAAACAGCGAAGAACAGCATGGTTGGAACTAGATCACCTGCTAGGAGATGAGGATGAATGAGTCATGAGTAGTTTTACTTACGATAACACACTAAGCGGACACAATCTTCTGTAGACAGTTCTCTCGTGCAAAGTTCGCAAATTGGGGTGTAGTCACTATCTTGAAGCCATTGCAAGTAGGACTGAACCACACACTGGAAATGAAATTAAATGGCCCTAAATTAGAGTAAGTTCCAATAAATTACCTGGCGGTCAAGAGTTAGAGACATAACCCCACCCAAAAAACAAAGTAACACTTTACTAACCTTTGAATGGTTTGTGACCATGCAGTATTCGCAAACATTCACGCGATGTTCAAAGCAAAACTGATTTGTTACACGTTTTTTGGGGCACTTGCAGAGACCCATTATGATACAAACAACGTCTTATCGATAGACTCACACAATACTCCCACTCACTGAATGTCAACAGAGGAGATTCCTACGAACGAAACACAAAAACAGGGATAATGTTAAGGCAGTCCAAGGGGACAGAAATTTACTCTGAAAATGATAGCGCGTTGTCAATTGCAATAAACCTTTTGGGAAAACAGAAAAACAAATAAAATTACCGGGTTGGAAACATTTCGCCACGTTTAGTCACAACACTAGACGAGTGACGTCTGATTCTGTCAGTCAGTCCTGTCATTTGTAGTGCTATTTTCAGAGTACGCTGACAATGCATCAGCCATACTATGTCGCGAACAGTACAAAAATTTCAATCTTTAGATAACATTATTTTTTGCGTTAACTGACACGAATACGTAGAAATCATGCAAAATATTTCATTTCGCGGTGAGGAGAGGGACTGTTGTTCTGTTGGCGACAGTGGTGGTATTCGCAGGAAGCGCAGCCGGCAGTGCGGCTATTTGCAGTCTCAATAATCTGTATAAAAACATAAACAAAAACATACGGACCTTCTGATCTGATGAATTCTTACGACAGTTCTGATAGACTTCAAAACGGACCGATACAGTTTTCATTCCTGAACGCACTCGCTTGAGTTTGCCTGTGAAATGAGCCACGGTAGGTTCACGAAATATGCGTCAATCAAAGGGTTAGGATGGATGCCCTAGCTTGCTATGTCTACCTCAAGATCTTCTATTTTGGTAATATCTCAATTATGGTCACAAACATTAAAACAATGGCAATGTATTCCAGGTCAGAGAGGGAGGCGCGGAGGAGGAAATCGTCCGTGGAGGCCGCAGATTGGTGAAAGAGGAAAGAATGTTGTGGAAGGGTTGAATGAAAATTCGCCTGTTATTCAAAGCTTTCGAAAGTTTGCTTCAGAGCTTGATGCAAAGCATGACAGGCATGAAAGACTTGTGAAACAAAGCAGAGATGTGACAATCGAGAGCAAGAGAATCATATTCCTGTTGCATTCCATCGACAAGTGAGTTCGAAATGGTGGACTACTTATAACTGTGATTAAATTATTATCAATTCATTGACTCGCTAACATTCTCACCTTTAAATTTCAGGGAGAGCAAAAGGGAAGCAGTGTTGGCTGAGGCACAGACTCGAATTGCTTCTCTTAATACTACAATATTTAAGGAAATTGCCAAAGAACTGCAAGGGCAAGACCAATACCAATATCTTCGGGCTGTCTCTCCTGGTGAGACACAAATGACACACAACATCTTATTTTGCCATTTATTGAGTGCAAGAATTACAATAATTGATGTTTCTCTTCTTTTCATCTTATTACAGGAATTCAGGAATATATTGAAGCTGTTACTTTCATGTTTTATATTAGAGATGGTAAATTACCTCATTGGGACGAATTACAGCCATCTTTATCTTACGGTGAAGAAGGACAAATTAATTTAATTCCTATTGAGTTTTTCCTCGGAGTGGGGGATTTGACTGGAGAGCTAATGAGATGCTGCATTCAAAGTCTTGGAACAGGATCCACCAAGAGCTGCTATGAGGTACAATTTTTCAGACACTGTTGGAATAAATTGGCATTTTTGTTGCCTTTACTCACAAAAATTCCCTTTCTTTCTTAATACAGGCCTGCTCTTTTGTGAGAGATATTTACATAGGTTTCATGAGTGTTGGCCACACTGGACACAGAGAGTTCCAGCGCAAGTTGAACGTCCTCAAGCAATCCCTCACCAAGATGGAAATGGCGTGCTACACTTTGGCTGTGCGGGGCAATGAAATGCCCAAGCACATGCTTGCCGATGTCTTCAGCACTGGTGAAGTGAATGATGGTGCTGACGAGGGATTCTGTGACTAGTCACTGAAATTGACACAACTTCACCTGCTACTGTACAAAATTTAATTAAATCTATTGCTTTACAAGTTCTCCCCCAGTGTTAAAGCCCCCGGTGAAAATATTGTAACGAGACCAACGTATCACAAGAGGTAAAATCATCAATAAACCAAATGTTAAATAAAAATGTCTCAAGTGCTTGCTGTCTCTCCGAGCCCCATCATCAGGCATCGACCAGCCATTGCCAGCCACGGCGCAATCGCGCCCAAATGCCTCAGCCATGTTATTAGGAGGCTCTGTCTCTCTCGCACCTTCACGGACAGCCCCAGGAGTGCGACAGAGACAGAGCGACGAAACTGCTCTTGTGAATGGCTCGGCAGTAACCACAGCACGCGATCCGTGTCTACCTCAACCCGCGGCCACCAGTTGCTTTCCTCGAGGCAGCAGACCGACTCAGAGAGTCGTTTCCGTCGCTCTGTCTCTCTCGCACCAATACGGGGCGCCCCATGAGTGCGAGAGAGACAGCGACGCTTGGCTACGCTCAAGGCTACGCTTGGCTGGGATGCGAGGGGTTGTGCCCACACTGTGCACAGGGCCCGCCTCCCACTTTTCTGCCCTTTTCTAGGGGCACTCCCCCCACACCACACCTCCGAGTCTGAGGCACATACCATCTCAAATCTAACTCAATTTTTAGTGCCCAACCACAGATACCCCTCTGGTGTCCTTATAATTGGAGCTTGGGCGGAGGCAAGAGGCAAGTATGGTTTCGGCCATCAAGATGCCTCCTTGCGTGCCTCTTTGACGATACAGTTCATCTCACTGTCAAAATGAAATTGGAAAATCATGCATATCGTCCGAGGGGGGAATAACTCCCCCTTTTGGTGAACACGTGATTGCAACGAGGCGTGATTTCGCGGGATTTCGCTGGATTTCATGGATTTCGCAGGATTGCGTCGGATTTCAAGGATTGCGTAGATTGCGCCGGATCTCTTTAGATTGCTGGCGATTTCAATGATTGCGGTCGGATTTCATAAGATTGCGATGGATTTCACAAGATTGCAATAAGATTGCGATGGATTTCACAAGATTGCAATAAGATTGCGATGGATTTCACAAGACTGCTCTATGATTGCGCTGAATGCAAGATAATTCTGTTGGAACACCCGAGAAATACCGTTTATTTACGTGGGTTGTCAAGACAGGGGGTCTTCTAAAGTAAAGGTGGCAGTGCTTTGGTTTTTGGTGATTTTATTGCTTACTATGACAAACTTTTACAGCCACAGACTGGACTCCCAACTCCCATTAGTTCCAAAGTTATGAGGGTTTTAGTGTTAATTTAGTCGTTTATTAAAAATTCTCCTTGCGAAGAACCAAAAAGTTTACGGAAGTGTGATTTTTTATTTTAAAGCCCAAAAAACGTGCAAAGAGACAAGCAAAGCCAGATTTGACTGTATATGCAAAGGGCAGCCGGAATCTTATTTTGAAAAGTGTATTTTTCTTATTTTACAAAAATTGATTTAATTTTGGTAATTTTTTTTTAGAAAAATTTCTGTTCAGTGTTGGAATTTTGGAAATCCGGCTTTGCCACGAGATAGGCAAATACATAAAGAACTTGTAAAACAAAAATGAAGTCTCGACAACTTTTGGTTCTTCGCAAGGAGAATTTAGGAGAAACGACCAAATTTGTTACGTAAACTTCAATAACTCAGAAACTAATGGGAGCTGGGCGCCTCAACTTTGGGTTTAAGTTCATCTTATAGTAAGCAACTAGAAACCAAAATACAAACATGATGCCACAATTATTTTGAAAAATGATATTTCACATTTTTTCACTTTACAGTAACCTTAAAAAAATTATTGCGAGACCGCTCTGTTTCTTACGTATTTTTGTTTGCTTTTTTTGTGACCTAATATCCTGTCCGATCTTCCCGCGCCTGCAAGCGGAAACCGTTTTAGTGGGGCAGGGGCGGCTATTTAGTGAGGTCAGCACGGGCCAACTAATAACGAAGGATAGGAGCGAGTGTGGAGGAATTATTGGACGATAGACCCTTTCAGTCGTCACCCAGTGAAGAACATAAGTAATCACTAATTAGGAACCAGATGCGCGCCACCTAGCGGCCACTGCTATGAACTTCGTCCAGACTTACGCTTGTGACCAATGAGGGTTCAGCTTTTGACAGTGCACAGTAACGGCCGCTAGGTGGCGCGCTACTGGTTTCTGTCTTTTTGATTACTTTTGTCCTTCTCCAGGCGATGACTGAAAGGGTCTATTGCAAGATTACAATGTTTTCGCTAAGATTGCGCAGGATTGCGGAAGATTTTGGAAGGATTGCGCGAGATTGCAGAGGATTTCGCGAGATTGCGGCGCAGATTGCAAAGGATTTCAAAGATTTCTGATGATTGCATGGATTTCGGAAGATTGCAAGGATTGCGGCCTGATTGCGACCCGGTGAACACATGATTGCGGGAGTCGCGGCCCCCTCGATATCGTCAGGGAAGTGCCTACCGAAACTCCGTTGGGAATTTCCGCGGGAGCACCTTTTTCTGTGAGCAAAAGCCGCTAAAACGCCACTTTATCAGCACTGGGGAGAGTTAATCAGGCATTTTGGTCACCGTAAGAAAAGATCTAAATGGTGGAAAACTTTTGGCTGAAATTTTGACTTACGACATAGACAACCAACAACATATTTAGTTGGTTGTCTAAGCTTACGATGACTCCTCAACTGGATTTGATGTGAGGATGACATCGTGCATGACGACAGACTCCAATATACTCATGATTCATATGCCTAGATGTCACCACTAAGGCGAAACTGTGTACTACCTCAAGTGGTTGAGCAAGTCCCTTAACGTGTGAGAAACGCCTTTTCAGCGAAAAAGCACAGAGAAAACGGGCTATACTAGGGAGGGGAGGTTCAAGGGTGGCTTTGAAAGCGGTGCAACACTGTGGCAAAAAGGTACGGAAAATCCTGTTAATTTTTTTGCCAGGATTCTCCGTAGCCCTCTTATCAATATTCTCCGTAGGCTCTTACAGTATTCTCCGTAGGGCCGCACAGTATTCTCTGTAAATCCGCACAGTCTTCTCCGTAGGACCTCGAAGACTGTATAGTCCTACGGAGATCACTGTGCGGTCCTACGGAGAATACTGTGCGGTCCTACAGAAAATACTGTAAGAGCCTACGGAGAATATTGATAAGGGGCCTACGGAGAATTACCACAAGCTGTTTACAGAATTTTCCGTAGCTTTTTGCCACAGTGTAACAGTCCTTTTATTCTCGCCACCCCCTCCCCCACCTAAAGGATATGCAAATATCAACACTGTGCCCGTGCAGTAGAGTAAAAAGCAACACTCTGGAATAGGTAAAGAAAAAAGAAAAATAGATGATACTTTGATTCTCCCTTAGGCCATTTCTGGATCCACCCTTTTTTAGGGGAGAGGCCGATTTTGCTGTGCTTATAGAGATCCCTCCACCAGTGTGCCTCCCTTTGGACGCGCTGGTAGAACCCTTCAAAAGGGGACGAAGCGAGCGCCTGCGACGAGAGAGAGTAGGCCAGCCCGCCGAACCGGCGCGTTGGATGGGTTGCCTACCTGCAGGAATTCAGGCGCTTCGGACGTGCACTGTCAACACAGTCAAACTCGTCACTTCTTGATACGGAATTGTTCTACACTCTAGGACGTGCGGAAATTGAACCCCTCGGAAAAAGCCAACTTGTGACATGAACAAAACCGAACAAAATTAAAAGATAGAGAAGAATGATCGAACAAACATTGTTTTTGGTGCGAGCACTCAGAGGTTTGTGACTGAAAGATAAAAAAAGGTGATCGAAAGAAGCATTTCTTGTGCACTAAAGTGTCTTCTAAGACTTAAATTACGATTAAAAAATCTGAACAAGTCCTTGACTACAAAACTATCTTAATGAAACACGGTGCCGATGTAAACACGAAACTATTATCTAAAAATACAAAACTGTCTGATTCGTATTGCAATACTTTTCTCCGTAATGCAAAACATGTTTGGACATTTTATAGTACAAATACGTGACGGCAACTAAAAAATATCAATACAAATATCATCGTGAAAAAGAAAGCTTTGTTGCACAATTTTGTCGGGGAGCTAATTCTTAGCACTGTGATACAAACCTTTACAAAATACAAGTGAGAAATATGTTCTATAAAAGAAACTAGCATTAAGTAACTGCGAAACCTCCCTTGTCGGCTACTACCTTCGCCAAGCTGTCATGATACTAAGTTTTTTGTTCGCGAACGAGGCCAGTAGGATCTTTAGAGTGAAATTTTGTCATGAGTCTGACTATTCTATGTAGGGGTAGATTGGGGAAGAAAAGTACAGGGTAAGAAAAGTACACCCCCCTTGTGGCCTACTATTCCAGAGCATGAAATCCATTTAACAGTGTTTTCACACTCAGCTTTTCAAGGGATGGCTAAAAGTCAAGACATCAGCTCCACAAGGGTTGTACTTTTCTTACCCTGTACTTTTCTTCCCCAACCTACCCCTATTAACGGTTCTGACTCGAAACGCTATTGCAGGGTCAATTGATGCAATGCGTTTGAAGATGTTTTCACTGCACCAACTGGTGCAATCTTTTTGCGATGCACGTAAAGTGCAATGCCTTCCCATGCATTAGCATAGGGTATTTTCGGGACGCACAGCACGTAAGGTTATTTGGATATTGCATTGCACGGTGCAACGTGTCTATGCATTGAACCACACGTGCCATGTTCATAGCGTTTGGGATCTCAATGAAACCTCACTCTCCTTTGGCTCTTTACATCCAGAAAACGAGGTGCTCGGTGGCGAAGGCGGCGGTGGCCAAGAGCAGGCCGGCCCCCAGCAGCAAGAAGCACACTCGCAGCGCGGCCAGGTCCAGCGGCACCACTCTATGGTGCGCCCGCTGCGCCCGGACTCGCTCCGAAGTGTACAGCCGGATGTCCTTCACGTTCTCGAACCGGCTCACGGTCAAGAGATCCAAACCAGCGGCTCTTAACCGACTCAGGGCCGTTCTAAATGTTTTTGCGACAGATCCTTTCCGGACCGTGAACATACTCACAATCATTTGACCCGGTACAACGAATTTGTGAATGCCAGTTAACGACTGCAGCTCAGGTTCCAGAAACGGGAGCAAAGACTCCGTGAGCACGATACCTGCGCTTCGGTTGGCCACAGCGTT